AGAAAGTCCTGACTGTGCAGGAAAAGTTACAATCTTTCAGCGGAGAATATTTTATTGAACTGTATACCTGTAGTATGGAAATTATCAAAGGGACAACGGAAATGGATTTTCCAGGAAATTTATATGATATCTGAAAGATTACTGTAAGCAATTAACATCACTAGCAGGGGTGTTTGAAGACTTGTAATGAGACATTTTCTACCTTTCTATATTGATTTAAATTTTGAGTTATTTTGTAAGGTGTGTAATTAGAATTGGAAAATGTACAAAATCCAGTAACAGAAAGGTAAATTCTGAAAGCCACGAGGTGGGAGGGAAGGAAGTCGACAGGCTCTAAAAAGCCAGGGACGTAAAGTGGAGTGAAATGATGTGAACGTGTATTATTAAGTAGAAAATAAATAAAAAATTACACTCTCTCTCATACACACATATATGAATTAAAAGGATTTTCCATGCCCTAATGATGGCCAAGAGATTGATATTGAGGAATTGGAAAAATGAAGATATGATAACCTTCAGCCAATTTATGAACGCACAGCTTACAGGCGCAGACTCTGTATGGATAAATATGGTAACATTTGGAACGAGTTTATACAAAATGTAGTAAGCTATTAGCATTTACATAAGCACTTGAACAATAATACTATACCAATTTATGCCAGAATGTATGGGAATACATTGCTTTTTTTGGCCTATTTTCCCTTTTATATGTATCTTTGTTGTTTTTCTCCCTCACTTTTCCTTCTATTTTTTCTGTAGCACTTTATTTCTTTTAACTGAAATCACCTTAATAAAATACAAATATATATATTTAAATTCCCTTCCAGCACTTGATTCTGCCACCGCACCAAGCTGGGCTGTGCCGCAAGTCATGGCAGCCTCAGTGCTGCCTCCTGGTGGCCACCTCCTGCCTGACAACAGCACTCCTTCAGAGTGGCTGGGGAGCACGTTGGTCTGAGATCCCGGGCAACTTTCATCACTGCGGATGCTGCACCCTAAGGCTCAAGGAAGACAAAAACAAGCATCTCTTCACACAACCTTCCAAAGGGGCCCTTCGACCCCCTCAAAAATCCTTACATTCAGAAAATGAGTTTTCAAGTACTCCTGGGGAGCAGCATTAAGTGCTTCTTGCTCATTTTAATTTTTGTTGTTGTTGTTGAGTCGTTTAGTCGTGTCCGCCTCTTTGTGACCCCCTGGACCAGAGCACGCCAGGCCCTCCTGTCTTCCACTGCCTCCCGCAGTTTGGTCAAACTCATGTTGGTAGCTTCGAGAACACTGTCCCACCATCTCGTCCTCTGTCGTCCCCTTCTTGCAACCTCCATCTTTCCCAACATCCGGGTCTTTTCCAGGGAGTCTTCTCTTCTCATGAGGTGGCCAGAGTATTGGAGCCTCAGCTTCAGGATCTGTCCTTCCAGTGAGCACTCAGGGCTGATTTCCTTCAGAATGGATTGGTTTGGTCTTCTTGCAGTCCATGGGACTCTCAAGAATCTCCTACAGCACCAGAATTCAAAAGCATCCATTCTTCAGCGATCAGCGTTCTTTATGGTCCAGCTTTCACTTCCATACATCACTACAGGGAAAACCATAGCTTTAACTATACAGACCTTTGTTGGCAAGGTGATGTCTCTGCTTTTTAAGATGCTGTCTAGGTTTGTCATTGCCCTTCTTCCCAAGAAGCAGGCGTCTTTTAATTTCGTGACTGCTGTCCCCATCTGCAGTGATCATGGAGCCCAAGAAAGTAAAATCTCTCACTGCCGCCATTTCTTCCGCTCATTTTAATATTAGATGCTTTAAGTTCAGGGCTTCTCTTTTGCCCTGCGTAGAACAAAAGGACCGTTTGGGGAAAGGGAGAGAAGATAGCGGAATCAGCTGCATGGGTTCAAGAGAGGATTAGACAAATTGATGGAGAGGACCGCTGATGGCTCCTACCCACCAGGGCTATGCTCTGCCCTCCACAGTTGAAGGCAGGGGTGCTTCTGAATACCACTTGCTGGAAAGCACAGGAGACAGTTTTGGCATGAAGAGGTCTCCACCCCATCGTCTCCGCGCTGAGTCCAGCAGAGCTTCGGGGTCCTCGCTGGAGAAGCCCAGTTACAGGGAACCAGGCAGAGGCTTCTAGTATGGCGCCCCCCGGTGGAACGCCTCATCAATGTCAAGAGTAAAGAACCAGGGTCTCGCAGACGAACGCTCGCAAGACGGAAAACCGCTAGACGAAGGTTTTCGGTTTTGAGGCACTTCACAAAACAATTCCTTGGCTTGCTTCGCAAGAGAAGCCAAGGAATCTCGACAGGGGGAAGCGCATCAGGACATGCCCGATGCCGGGGGCGGACGGACGCCTCCCCGCCGCATCGGACATGCCGAGTGGCGGCCGGGAAGCCTCCCCGCGCCTGTTGGGACCATGCCCCGATGCGGGGGGCGACGGGAACGCTCCCCGCCCGCATCGGACCATGCCCGATGCCGGCGGGGACGGCGGGCAGGTCACGCGCGCGTTTAAAAGCACTCTAAAGCAGCAAGCGCCTGTTTCCCCGAGCATCGGAAGTCCGGCGGGGCCTTGGATTCCCAGCCCCGCTTTAAAGCACTGGAAAGCAGCAAGCGCGGCGCGCTTTGTTGCTTCCCCGATGCTTTTAAACGCGGGCTGGGGGGAATCTTGGACCCTCGCGACTTAAAGAGCGCGAATCGGGTCAAGGATTCCCAGCCCCGCTTTAAAAGCACTCCGGGGAAAGCAGCCAAGGCGGGCGCTTTAGAAGCTTAGAAGGCTGGGGAAAGGGCTTCTAGAGTCTTTAACGCAGGCGGCGTAGGGAATCCTTGACCCCCTTCCGGACTTCCCAGCTCTTTTGAATCCGGTGGGGGAGAGGGCTTTTTTTTACCGCGCCTTAGAACAGCTACTGACGGCGGTGGAAGAAAGCCCTGCCCACCCAGCTTCAGAAGAGGTCGGGACAGACTGTCCGGACGGTCTGAAGCAGTTTCCTAGGAACCATTAATTGATTTTCATGCATTCTATGGGAACCGTCTTCGCAAGACGAAAACCTGCAGAGAAAAACTCGTGAACGAATACTTTCGTCTGCGAGCACACTGACACATTTAGAAACTTCTGAGCCCTGTAGGGAAGCTCAAGTTAATAGATTACGTATTGTATATTCTGTTGGAAGATGCCAGGTGGCTAACCAGCAGCGGGTATAAATTATTATTTATAATATTATATTATAGTTATTACCTGCCCAACTGTTCACCATGAGAAAATGCTGGACTAGAATCCTCTATTGTTCATAGTGCTTGTCAAGATGCAAAGCATTACTGGACAGCAATGTTCGATCCATTCTTAAGGAACCGATCCATTCTGAAGGAAATCAGCCCTGAGTGCTCACTGGAAGGACAGATCCTGAAGCTGAGGCTCCAAGACTTTGGCACCTCATGAAAAGAGAAGACTCCCTGGAAAAGACCCTGATGTTGGGAAAGATGGAGGGCACAAGGAGAAGGGGACGAGAGAGGACGAGATGGTTGGACGGTGTTCTCGAAGCTACCAGCAGGAGTTTGACCAAACTGCAGGAGGCAGTGGAAGACAGGAGGGCCTGGCGTGCTCTGGTCCAGGGGGGTCACCAAGAGTCGGACACGACTAAACAACTAAACAACAACGAGGAAGGAAACTTCATGGACATTCAGAGGCTACATGAAGACCAGACCATTCTGCATCACAGCCACAAACTCCCACCTAGGGGCTGAAATATGGCAAGCCCAGAAGCCAGGGACCCAGCCCTGCCAGATCCTTCTGCAAGCCCAGGGGCATGGACCTTGGTCACTGGTTTCTTAATGCTCTGAGCAAAAGGGTCTTGGAGAAACTGGTCACTCCTGGACCCTCAGTGGAGAGGTTTCCAGGGCTTATGAACATGAAACGGAGAATTGCGTCCTGAATATGCAAAGCCAACTTTTCATTTCCAAGGCATTATCGCCTTAGGGGAGGCATTTCCCTCCCCCGTCCCCCTTTGAAAAAACGGGCAAGAGGATTTAGGCAGATACTCAAACTTCAAATGGAGGATTATGCAGCAGATGCAAATATCATCTTCCACTGTGAAACAGGTAGCTGCAGGCGCAAGATTAACAATATTAATAAGAGAGTAGGCAGATAAAATAATAAAATGGCATCAGTGGAACTGGTGCTTGACAGGAATAATAGACCACTGCCTGCCTAGCGGAGGTTACAATCTGAAATCCATGCAGGAGAGGCAGGGAAGAGCGACGGCAGGAAATGCTTGCAGGTCAATTGCGGTTTCTGTAGGGCAGGCATGGCCAAAGTCCATTTCGGGGGCCTAATCCGGCCTGCTGATCGGTTTAATCCAGCCCTCATGGCAATTCATTTCCTGGGGTAAAATCCTTCTTAAAAAGCTCAACAACTTTGGTTGGCCCCTTTGGGTCTGCCCTCACGGCCCTCCACTTACTTCATCAAATCTGGCCCTCTTTGAAAGAAGTTTGGATACCCCTGCTGTAGGGGTTTGGGGGTTACGGGGCTGTGTCAAAGGCAAGATGAGAACTTCTTGCAGGGAGCGGTCCAGCAGGAACTGCCCCTCTCATCCTCCAGATGTCGTTTGAAAACTTCTTTGTTCACATAGGCCTTCAAAACATGACTTTTAACTAGCCAGCAATTATTGATATTTTAAAATGCTTTTATGGATCTTTTGTTGACTTTGTAAGTTGTACATATTTTTTTTTACAGCATCTTTATTGAATTAAAATACAAATACAGATACACACATAAAGATAAAAAAAGAAAAGATTAAGACAAGAAAAGAAAGAGGGGGAAAACATACAAAACAAGAATTTGCATTACAGTGGTACCTCAGGTTAAGTACTGAATTCGTTCCGGAGGTCCGTTCTTAACCTGAAACTGTTCTTAACCTGAAGCACCACTTTAGCTAATGGGGCCTCCTGCTGCCGCTGCACCGCTAGAGCACAATTTCTGTTCTCATCCTGAAGCAAAGTTCTTAACCCGAGGTATTATTTCTGGGTTAGCGGAGTCTGTAACCTGAAGCGTCTGTAACCTGAAGCGTATGTAACCTGAGGTACCACTGTATTATACAATCGTTCATTGAATTTCTAAATAAAAGATTTCCAATTCTTCTCATTGTACTTGTATTGTTCTTTACGTTTAACGCACAGCCTTCTATTACCCTAATTTGTTTTCGTGTACTCTAACAAATTAACATTTACACGTTGTATTTCACAAGGATCAGTTTAGTTCCGCTAGGAGATTGTTATTTGAACAATATGTTTTTAGGTAATCTTTGAATATTTTCCATTCTTTGTATACTTTCTGCTTTGAGAGCCCTCTTAGTTTCCCCGTCATCTTTGCCAGTTCGAGGTATTCAATCATAAGAGTCTCCCATTCTATTATCGTGGGCAGTGTTTGATTTTTCCAGTTTCTTGCCACTATTATTCTGGCTGCTGTTGTTCCGTACATAAACTATGGTCTTATATCTTTTCTGATTTCCGCTGACATTATTCCTAGGAGGAAGGCTTCTGGTCTTTTTCTGAATGTAAATCTGAATAGCTTTTTGAATTCATTATATAATTTGTCCCAAAATTCCCGGATGACTGTGCAATTCCACCACATGTGTAAGTATGTCCCTGTCTCTTTTTTGCACCTGCAGCAGGTTGGTGATCTACCTTTATACAATTTAGCAAATTTTGCTGGAGTTTGGTGCCATCTATAAAGCCTATTTGATATATGATAAAGGGAGGGTCCATAAGGGTTTCTTGAATCAAGTGATAAGAAAATCCCTGTATAAGATCTGGGAGAAATATAAAAGGTTGTTAGAGCAAAAGATACCTTTGTGGACCTCTCCTGGAGAAGCCATAGCAGTCAAAAAAAGGCATATGAAAAAGGAATGGCTCACCTATCGAGTACTGCTAGAATTTGTTGAAGATAAGCCCATGTTGAAAAAATATGACGAAATTAAAAGCCGCTTGACAGACTGGCTCCAATACTTTCAAATAAACCAAAGATTGAGTTTAGACAAGAGAGATGGTCTGGCAAAAGAAACATCCAAGTTTGAAAAAGAGCTAACTCACAATAAAGGAAAACATATCGCAGGAATATACAACTATTTATTAGAATGGGAAGTGAAAGAAGAGCAAGTTAAAGTTGTAATGGCGAGATGGGCACAAGATCTTGGATATAGTATCTATATGGAACCATGGAAAAGATTATGGAAGGAGGATATAAAATTCACGGTGTGCTATAATTTTAGGGAGAATGCAAGTTGTACTTATTTAAATAAATGTGATCTGAAAGAAGAGTGGGACGGGGGGGGCTCCCCCCATGTGATGCTGGCAGCATGTGACGCTGCGGGTGGGGCTGGCAGGCACCGTCCCACTAGTCCCACTCTACCTCTGTGTGTCTAGTCTTCTCGTGGTAGCAAACCTCTGAGAAGGGCCCCAGAAAACCCTGAGACGGAAATATTCCAAGGCACCTGGGGCAGAAGCGTTCAAGGGTCCGGGCGACCTCTGCGTGGCTGAGGGTGGAGGCGCAAAGGCCACAGGAAGCAGAGAGGGCAGGCTGGCACAGAAGGCTTCAACAAGGAGGAGTTTGTGGTGGACCTGAGAGCAAACAGAAAGCCAGCACACAGATTTAAACTGGGGTGCATGTCACATGGCCTGAAAGGCAAGAGAGTGAAGGATTTGAGCGCCAAACCATTCTGTGCGCTGGGCAGAGGTGAAGCAACCAAAAGCCAGAGAGGAGGATCGATGGGGAGCCTGGCCCATTGGAAGGCTCACCCCAATTCAAAGGCTTTGTCTGCCCTTTGGGGACATCACCCTGCAAGCAAGGCTCTGGCTAGTGTCTCTGGAGCTGCCTGGTGTGCTGTCTGGATCCCTGGCAGAAGAGCAGGGGGTTACATGACCAACTGGAACACTGCTGCAGCATCCACCCTGCTAGCCCTCTTGGCCCAGACTCCCTCCAGCCCCAGTGAGACAGACTGTGTCAATACTAAGTCACTTAGCAGAGCCAAAAACCTAATTGTTGGCTCCCTAATCAGAGTGTGAAAGAAGAACCCAAGAGGCGGAAGGCAGAGCAGCGCAACCGGGAGATGGAAAGAGGCAGAAGAGGAGGGAGGGGGAGAAACAGAGAGCTGCTCTGGCATTAGCCAAGAGCTCATTTTTAGACAGAGAGGAAACTGTGTCCGGATCTGGGCATTACTGCAGAGCCTACCCCCACTGCCCGCGGGACAGCAAGCTCAATACAAGGAAAGCAGCACCCCTCTCAGAAGGACAAGACTGGCCCCAGATTTCCAAACACAATAAATGGACATATTCACTTCAGACAGCTCCATCACCAATCAAACTAGGTTTATAAAATTATTCACGGCACTGAGAAAAAGTCTTCTCCCTCTCTCCTAACACATGAAGCTGAATGTTAGAAGATTTGGGACAGATAAAAGGAAAGACTACAATGCACAGCACAGAAATTATTCTGAGCCCTAGCACTTGGGAGTTTGCAGAGCAAGACTTCAGCTGAACCCCAAAGGAACTGTGCACAAAGGTCTGCATTTTGAGACGACTTTTGGTTTTCATTCTCAGGTCACACAGTAGATAAACAGAATCCCCCTTCCCAAAATGATGTCTTACCTCTGGCCATGCCAAGCCACCAAGAGCCTCTCCGGGATGTGGCTGCAATTGTTCCATCTGCCTTTTTTGAGACACTGAACCTCTGGGCACTATGCAGAACACCGTAAGGTCCACACATTGTGTCACTTTCCAAGCATGCCGGTCTGACAGCATCTCTCCCATTTTATTGAAGCAACAGTTAGTTACAAACACTCCAGCTCTTCTGCAGGAATTTTCTGGAGGGACCCTCTTCTCGCTTCTCTCAGAAAGCACCCAAGGGGGCATCATGCAATATCTCCCTGCCAGAAGCGCATTATGTAACCCTTAGGTGTCCAAACTACTGAAGACACACAAAGCTTCCAGCACATGACAAGCCTCTGGAGCTCTCACGAGACAGGGAAGAGGCGGGTCTAAAACAGAGACCCTGGCAGAAATGGGGGGGGGGGCAGCAGAGACCCAAACTGAACACTCTAGACCAGGCATGTCCAACAGGTAGATCGTGATCTACTGGCAGTGATCTCCCCCCCCCCCAACTTTGGTCCATCCAATGACAATGGGTAGATCACTGCCAGTTTTTTTATACTGTGAGTAGATCGCAGTCTATTGGGAGTTGGATGTTCCTGCTCTAGACCTAAGAGGTCTGGTGAGATTCTGGCCTTTCCACTGTTTCGAAAAAAGGGTCCGCAGCTTGAGGGGGAGGGAGGGAGGGAGCAGGAGCACAGCCAGGAAGTCCTGCAAGGTGTCACTGTTTTTGCTGCCTTCAACCGCAAATTATTGTACTTCTCCGTGTGTAAGATGAGGTTTTTTTTAATTAAGAAATTATCTTAATATAATCATCTTATACATGGATAGTGCATGGGGGGGGGATGTGGGATTGGTTGGTGCTGCGAGCCAGAGATTGTCAGTGTGTTATTGGTGGCTGCTGCAAGGGCTGGTCTTGATATGCGGTCGCTGTGGCAATTGGGTGGGTGACTGGCAGCAAGGGGACCGATGATCGTGGTTTTTCCTACCTGCACTAGTGGCAGCATAGGTCTGGCGGGTGATTTTTGGCAATCCCCCCTTAAAAAAAGCTAAACAACTCACTACTCTGGGCAATCTCCCCCTTTTTTCTTAATTCTGAGTCCCCCCAAATAGTGTGTTATACACGGAAAAATACGGTATGTCAGCAGTAGTGGAGATTTTTAAATCTAGAGAGAGGCTGCTGCTTTGCTGGGGTTCTTGAGACTGTTTTCTGGGGAACCTTACATACCTGAGGCCTTTGGGGGAGGGGGTGTCAGTGGCAAGGATGCCTCAGGGCACAGCCAGAGAAGCCCCTGCTGCTCCCCATTGCCCCAGGCCCAATGCCCATAGCTGTCAACCGTCCCATATTTGGTGGGAAACTCCCTTATCCCAGCACCGTGTCCCGCTGCTGTCCCTTATTGATGATGTCCCTTAAATTTCCCGGGTTTCAAAGGAAACAGCTCCTCTCCCTCCCTCCCTGCCGGCCAGGGCAGAGGGAAGCTCCAACTGTGTTGCTTGGCTGCCCGGCCTCCTCTCACCAGCCTCGGCCCCCGGGAGCCCCTCCCCACTGGGACTGGCAGGAGCCTCGGGCCCTTCCGCCGCCATCCTCCTCGCGGCCGCCGAACTGAGCGTCTCTGCCTGGGGCCTCCCCTCTGCCCGCCGCCACCACTCCTGCTCCCGCTAGGCCATACTGCGGCTGCGCCACCGAAGGACCCGAATGAGATGGGCAGCCTGGCGCGGCCTATGGATTGCCATAGAGAAAGCAGTTCAGAGAGAGGAGGCAGCTGTTCCAAGGGCTAGCCATAGCAGGGGACAGCGGAGGAAGGACTGCGAGCGCTTCTCCCACAGATTTGTAGTGGTAGACTAGCACAGATGGTCTGATCTGCGGGTTAACTTCTGGCGCTTGTCCCCCCCCCCTTCCTCCGGCCCCGCCTGATGGAACTGAGAGCTGCAGATGGAGCACGAGAGAAAAGCAGCAGCATTAACTTCGTATTTCAGCTGGTTGACTAAAATCCCGTATTTTGGCTGCTGATCCCTTATATGGATCCCACAGTGATCCATGCGACGGTCATCTCCAGGCTTGACTACTGTAATTCGCTCTACACAGGGCTGCCCTTGAAGCTGTCCCAGAAACTCCAGTGGGTGGAGAATGCTGCAGCGAGGCTCCTCACGGGATCTCTGCCATGGGAGCATATTCACCCAGTGCTTTTCAAGCTGCACTGGCTCCCGGTGGAGTACAGGGTCAGATTTAAGGTGCTGCTTTTGACCTTTAAAGCCCTTCACGGCCTTGGACCCTCGTACCCACGGGACCGCCTCTCCTGGTATGCCCGACGGAGAGCCTCAAGGTCCATAAATAACAACACCCTAGAGGTCCCGGGCCCTAAGGAAGTTAGATTAGCTTCAACCAGAGTCAGGGCCTTTTCAACTCTGGCCCCGGCCTGGTGCAACGCTCTGTCTCATGAGACCAGGATCTGATTTCTTTCCGCAGGGCCTGGAAGACAGAGTTGGTCTGCCTGGCCTTTGGCTTAGAGCCAATTTGATTCCCTCCCTCCCTCTTTTTCTTTTTTCTTTTCCTTCTCCTTCTGCGATGAGGCTTCATTTTAATATTTTAATGTTCCATTATTTTAATTTTGTATTTTATTTTTGTTTTTAAGTTGTAATCATTCTTCTTGTTTTTATTATTGCTTGTAAGCCGCTCTGAGCCCGGCCTTGGCTGGGGAGGGCGGGGTATAAATAAAAAAATATTATTATTATTGTTGTGGTTGTTATTTCCGAGGCTGCTGAGCCCTTATTTTCAAATCTGTCAGTTGACAGCCATGCCAATGCCTGAGGCGAAGCCTGCCCAAGCCGGGGCTCCGGCTCCCCCTCAGCCTGGCCCTGCCAGAGCCCCCCCCCCTCGCCCGGCCCAGGACGGTCCCCTGGCAGCGGCCCGGAGGGAGCGGAGAAGGCCAGAGCCTCTCTTCCGCCCCGGCACGTGACGCCCAGCGATCATGTGACGCGCTCCGCACGCCCTGCCCTTCACCTCGCGCACTTACGCAAACGACGCCCTCGAAGCCTTCCGCGGAGAAAAAGTAGTCCCCCGCGGGCCGCCAGGTTTCTCCGAGGAAACGGCCGGCCTGACGCTTCCCGCGACGAGTGAGCAACCAGACCCCGGGGGGGAAGAAGCCGGAGCAGCGCCGCCGCCGCCGCCCGCCCAGCGCCGCCGCCGCGCCCTCGGAAGTAGTCCCGGCGCCGGCGGGGTCCGGCGGAAGAATCCCTCCGCCGGGCGAGGGAAGCGGCGATGGCGACCTGGCGGGTGCCGGGCCGGAGGGAGCGGGCGGCTGAGGGGCCGCGGGGGTGTCTGCGAGAGGCCCCCGGCGGTAAGGAGGCTGCGGCGGCGCGGAGGGTCCCCGGCGCGCCTGGGTGGGTCTCCGGGCGGCGGGCGAGGGGAGGGGGCCTGGCGCAAGATGGCGGCGGGCGGCCGAGGCGCGGGCGGGGGCTCAGGCAGCGCCGAGGGCAGCCCGCCTCGGACAAGGCCCCGCGGGAGGGAAGGCAGAGCGCGGCAGCCGAGCCGGAGCGGCGCGCGCACCCTCCTCACACCCCCCCCCGCACGCACGTCACGCCAGGGCGCTGGGCCAATAGGAAAAGGGGAGGCGGGGAGAGGGAGGCGGGGGCGCCCTGGCCTCGCCAGGTGCATTGTGGGAGAATCCCTCCATCCCTCCATCCCTGCCCGATGGGCGACCCGGGAGCCGGGACCAGGCAGCGGCTGGGCGGCTGCGCTTGCAGGCCCAGAACTCGGCTGCCTCCTCGTGGAATCCTAGGGCTGCGAGGGACCCCCAGGGTCATCTAGTCCAACCCCCTGCGATGCAGGAATCGTGGCAGAATCTGGTATCCATGCCACCCCCCAGCCGCACAGAAGGGGGAATGGTTGGCCTCTGTTAACGGAGAAATCTGAGGGCTCCCTTGGACAGAAATCAAGGACCCCAGCCAGGAAGACCAGAGCAAAACAGCAGCCCGTAGGCTTGGTCTTTATTGAAGACAGTCGAGACAGGACTCCCACCTGCCACCAGGTGGAACAAGATGGAAGCCCCAAACAAAAGAGCCCACAAATTTTTATTAGCTGCTCATCCCCATGTTACACCCCCCCCCCAAACTACATCACGGTTACATCACGGTTACATCATGAAAGTGGAGGTCTGGTGGCAGGAATCTGAGCATCCTGGACCCTGCCCCATGGTTCTCCACCAAACACCCATCAAGTGGAACAAAAGAGACATTTACATTTCCCTGTTTCCCAGCCTAGTTAATCCGCTCCAGCCTCAAAGGCTGCCATGCACAACTTTGGTCTTTGCATCTTTGCAACCCGCAATTCAGGGAGCGCTCTCGGACGCCTGCTTTCCTGGCTTCCTCCCCCACGGGGTGAATTGTGGGTTGCAAACACCGAAGTTGTGCAGGGCAGCCTCCCAGATCCTAGTCTGATACTCTAACCACTATACCACACACCACTATGAGCAACTTAAGCACTCAGCAATAGGAGCACCGCTTTTCTTTCCGCTTAGATCAAACCGTACTCCGGCATTTCTGGACAAGAAATACTCCCTCCGGCAGCTTGTTCAGTTTTCCATTAGATTTTAGTGGTTAAACTGCTGGGCGGGTGGGAGGTGGGGCATGATAAGCAAACCAAGGCACAGGGTCACCTGGACTCCAAACCTAGTGCCTAGCAAGCTAAAGTTTTCCTGCCCAAAGGGACATGTAGGGTGACAAGCAGACTCTGGAGGTGGCAAAGTAATGAGATTGTCATCCGAACATTAGTTACTTTTCTGCTGCCAATATATCTCATTAGAGATTAGGGGATACACTAGTTGCTTGCTGCTTTCATCTTTGGTTCCCTGATGGAACAAAGAACCTGGAATTTGGAGCACATCTTGTGTCTTTGAAGCCATCCAGGCTCAGAGATAAGCCCGATTGTAAGAAGCTGTGTTGTGGAACACAGGGAGAGCCCAGCATTTGCTTTTAAAGTGGCAGCCAGGTGCCCCAGTGAGAAACCCCTCAAGCACGATGTAAGCTCAGCAGCCCCCTCTTATGCCTCAGAATGTCAGAAGAGCCCATCTCGTCCAGCATCCTCTTCATGGCCAGGAAGATGCCTCTTCTGGGAGGCCCCACAGGCAGGATCTCCCCCTGCACTTTGGATTCCCAGCAGCTGGGATTTCGAGTCATATGACCTCTGATCCCGGGTCCCTCTGATCTGGCCATCATGACTAGTAGACCTTGGTAGCCTTATTTTCCATAAGTTTCTTTAAGTCCTCTTCTAAAAGCCTTAAGTTGACTGTCTCCTCTCTTCTCTCTCCTTGCCTAGTCTGAGGTGCCCTAGATGTTGGTCGCTTTCTGGCCTCACTCAAGCACAGTTAGAGGAATTGTTTCTGGCTCTGGCTGTAGTTGGGATATCCCTATTAAGGTATGTGCCACAAATATGTACCATGCAACGGACGGGCAAGATAGTTCCTGGGGTTGTCATGAGGGGGGCAAGATGGTGCACCAAAGAGTGTTGAACTGGCCTGGGTGCTAGGTTTGCAAGAGAGCTTCAGAAGTATGATTTGGAAAGAGCTGACATGGATTAGCATTGATTCCATTCCTGATTTTTTGGGGGGTGGGGAGGTGTTGTTGCATGAACACTACTCTTTTGTAATTAGAAGCTTCTTGTTCCACCTTCCAAGTTTCTTGTTCCACCTTTCACTGAGGGTCAGTGTCAAGTGCCACATCCCAGTAGGGGGCGACTGAAGACTGGGGTTTCTTCCCGCCATGACACACACGCTCTGCCTTTCCAGACTTGGCCATGGAAGCAGAAAATGAAGTGGAGAGCAGCAGCGATGCTGCCCCTCGGCTGGGGCAGCAAGAGGAGCCCTCTGAGAGCGGCCTGGGCATGGAGACCTCAGAGACCATGTCTGCAGACAGCAGCGATGCTGCCTCGGTGCCCGTCACCCTCTCAGAGGCAGATGAATCCGGGGTCGGCCAGAGCTCGGACAGTGGAGAGATCTCTTTGGTACGGACCACGTCTCTTTTGCCTCTTTGGGGCCAGGGTGGGGGACACAGCAGGCCAGGCCCATTTCACAAGAGCGGAAGATAGCAAGTCTGACCTGGTGGAAGAACGATAGGCTAGTAGGAAGTCTCCTCTTGCCTTTCCTCGTGGATTAATAGACTTGCCTTTATTTATTTGTGTAGAGTTGGAAAGGGGCCCTTAGGGTCATCTAGTCCAACCCCCTTGCAATGCTGTAATTGCAACTAAAGAGTCTCTGACAGATGGCTACCTAAATTGTTCTTCAAATCCTCCTATGAAGGAGCGTCCACCACGTTCCTCTCTCTGCCACCTCTGAGTCGAGTTCCAGCCTCTGTTTCTTCCCCCTCTCTGCTTCGCAGGCCGAAGTACCAGAGAGCAGCTCCAGCACGGACGCCTTGCCCAGGGCCTACCTGCCGGACTCCTCCTCCATTGCGCAGTCCACCCTGGTGTCCAGCGTCTCCACCGTCAGCCAGTCCGTCCTGGTCTCACAGTCTCCCCAGGGCCTCGTTCACTCCAGCGTCCTCGCGGAAGGAGCTCCCGTCGTCTCCAACTCCACGGCCTCCACCTCCTCGGATCTGAGTGCCGCCATTGACAAGATCATAGAGTCCACCATTGGGCCAGACATCATTCAGCGTGAGCAGACAGAGGGCTGCGGGCGGGGAGTCCGTGGTGGGAGGGTGCAGAGGGAGTCGGAGGAAGCAAACGGACTCTGGAAGTCGCTTCTCACAGCCGTATTTAGGATGCACCCCCAAACATGCCATTTGTGCAGGAGCTGACGCTGGTTCTCTTTCTTCCCTGGTTCAGGGTGCATTGCTGTGACAAGTGAGGAAGATGGTGGGGCCCAAACCACCCAGTACCTCATCCTGCAGGGACCAGATGATGGTAAGGAAAGGGTCTTATGCATCCATTTCTTTGCCTTTCTCTCCCACCCTTCTCTCCTAGCATCTCAAGGTGGTGTACGTGATTCTCCCTCTCCTCGTGTGATCCCCACAACAACCCTGTGAGGTTGGCCGAGTGGGGGATTCAAACCCTCTCCCAGGTCCTAGCCCGACACTCTTAACCGCTACACCTCACTGGCTCCAGCTGGTTGTGGTCTACCTGCCTTGCTTCCTTCCTCTCTGGCCGGGAGCAGAATGCGGAGGCAGCCTCTGCCGCTCACAGACTGCGGTGGCCTGAGGGCTCTCTCCTGACCAGCCTAGAGCGGAGGGAGGGTGTTGGGAGGAGCTCTCCCTTGACCTGGCGCCTGCACTCGCTCCCTCTGCCGCAGGGGCCCCCGTGATATCCCACATGGCCAGCTCTGCCCTGGCCCGCAGCTTGGCCGTGGAAGCCCTTGCGGACGGCCCCACCTCGACGTGCGTGGAGCACCCCGGGCCCCTGGAGCTGCTGGAGCAGCCGGAGCCGCTGGACCAGTCGGAGGAGCCCGACCTGGAGAGCCTGGAGGAGCTGATGGAGGTGGTCGTGGTGCAGCAGTTCAAATGCAAGATGTGTCAGCACAAGAGCGCCTCAAAGAGGGTCCTCATCCAGCACATGAGGGAGCGCCACTTCCAGCCAGGTGCGTCGGGCTCGGCCGGGCCTCGTCAAGCTCCAGGGGCGGAGTGGAATTTTGGAGCAGTTCGTAGACTCAGAGAAAGGGAAGGGACCCTGAGGGCAAGGCAGGATTGGTGCACGAGGGCATGGAGTCGGTTCTTGCGCAGGCTTGCCAAGAGAACTCTGGCTCTGCACCACGAATCTATCAGCTTCTCTAGTTTGTGTGCAGTCACCTTTTGGGAGCCGGGGGGTGGGGGGAGGGCGAGGGTCAGCAATAGGAGAGGGAGGGGAGGTTCTGCGGCACAACAGGGCAGCATAAGAACATAAGAAGAGCCTGCCTGGATCAGGCCAATGGCCCATCTAGTCCAGCGTCCTGTTTTCACAGTGGCCAAACAGATGCCTCTTTTGGAAACCCCAAAGCAGGAATTGAGCACAAGAGCATAACTATCCCTGCTGTGGTTTCCAGTAACTGGCATTCAGAAGCGCCGCTGCCCTCAGTAGCCCTCTCCTTCTCCTCCAGGAATTTGTCTAATCCTAGAATCCTAGAATCATAGAATCATAGAATCATAGAGTTGGAAGAGACCACAAGGGCCATCGAGTCCAACCCCCTGCCAAGCAGGAAACACCATCAGAGCACTCCTGACATATGGTTGTCAAGCCTCTGCTTAAAGACCTCCAAAGAAGGAGACTCCACCACACTCCTTGGCAGCAAATTCCACTGTCGAACAGCTCTTACTGTCAGGAAGTTCTTCCTAATGTTTAGGTGGAATCTTCTTTCTTGTAGTTTGGATCCATTGCTCCGTGTACGCTTCTCTGGAGCAGCAGAAAACAACCTTTCTCCCTCCTCTATGTGACATCCTTTTATATCTTTGAACATGGCTATCATATCACCCCTTAACCTCCTCTTCTCCAGGCTAAACATGCCCAGCTCCCTTAGCCGTTCCTCATAAGGCATCGTTTCCAGGCCTTTGACCATTTTGGTTGCCCTCCTCTGGACACGTTCCAGTTTGTCAGTGTCCTTCTTGAACTGTGGTGCCCAAAACTGGACACAGTACTCCAGGTGAGGTCTGACCAGAGCAGAATACAGTGGCACTATTACTTCCCTGGATCTAGATACCATACTCCTATTGATGAGGCCCAGAATTGCATTGGCTTTTTTAGCTGCCGCGTCACACTGTTGGCTCATGTCAAGTTTGTGGTCAACCAAGACTCCTAGATCCTTTTCACATGTACTGCTCTCAAGCCAGGTGTCACCCATCTTGTATTTGTGCCTCTCATTTTTTTTGCCCAAGTGCAATACTTTACATTTCTCCCTGTTAAAATTCATCTTGTTTGTTTTGGCCCAGTTCTCTAATCTGTCAAGGTCGTTTTGAAGTGTGATCCTGTCCTCTGGGGTGTTAGCCACCCCTCCCAGTTTGGTGTCATCTGCAAATTTGATCAGGATGCCCTTGAGTCCATCATCCAAGTCGTTGATAAATATGTTGAATAAGACCGGGCCCAAGACAGAACCCTGTGGCACCCCACTAGTCACTCTTCTCCAGGATGAAGAGGAACCATTGATGAGCACCCTTTGGGTTCGGTCAGTCAGCCAGTTACAAATCCACTGAGTGGTAGCATAGTCAAGACCGCATTTTACCAGCTTCTTTACAAGAATATCATGGGGCACCTTGTCAAATGCCTTGCTGAAATCAAGGTAGGCTACATCCACTGCGTTCCCTTCATCTACCAGGCTTGTAATTCTGTCAAAAAATGAGATCAGGTTAGTCTGACATGACTTATTTTTCAGAAATCCATGCTGACTATTGGTGATCACAGCATTCCTTTCTAGGTGCTCACAGACTGTTTGCTTAATGATCTGCTCCAGAATCCATAATCCTCTTTTGAAACCCTCCAAGGCGGTGGTCTTCACTGCCTCCTGTGAGAGGGAGTTCCATAGTTTAACTCTTCATGAAGAAGGACTTTCATCCATCCATCCGTCTTCCAATGTTCAGTACTATTGGGCATCCACAAGGTCCAGCATCATGCGAGAGGGAGAAAAGACCTTTCTCTCTCCAGTTCCTCCAGGCCAGGGATCCTTTTCTCAACTCTGCTGCTTGCAAGTCAAGCTGCTGTACGAGGGGAGAGATGGGAGGGGCACAATATATGGACTCAACCCGCATCAAAAACTTAAAAAGGAGTGAAAATGTTTTGATGAATATATGGCAAAATATTGCTCAAAAAAAGATACGCTAATATCTTAAATAGATTAAAATGTGAAGTACTGGACGGAAGAAAAATGAGTAAGGGAAGATAATAAGAATATATAGATGATTTGAGAAGATTGTAGAATGCAAAGATTATGGGAAATTGTATAATGTGGAGGAAATCGAGTGGGGGTGGAGGGAAGTGGGAGGAGGAAGAAAAGAATAATAGGATGGATTGAGGAAATAGAAATGCAAATGTACAGGGGGATGGGGAGGAAATGGTGTTGCCTTTGGTACATTCGTATTGTAATGTAATATTTGAAAACCTAAATATATATGGACTGAACCGTGCTGTTTCCTCCCCTCTAGCGTCAGCCCCCGGTGTGAAGAAAGGGCGCCCCCGGAAGGGGGCTCCTGTGCCCAAGGCCCCAGAAAAGAGGAAGGCAGAAGAAGCAGAGGAGGAGGAGGAAGACGACATTGTGGACGCAGGGGCTATCGATGACCCTGAAGGTATTTCTCACGCAACCCCCCCAGCTGCAGCCCCTCACCCGGCTCCCCCGCCCCGCTCACCTTTGCCACTCTTCCGCAGGGGACAGCGATTACAACCCAGCGGAGGACGAGCCCCGAGGGCGCCTGCCCAAGACCAGCAGCCGCCCTGTGCCCACGTCCAGCGAGGAGCGGCTGCGCCGGCGGCCGGGACGGCCCCGCAAGTTCCCCTGCCTGGAGGTGGTCCCTCAGCCAGAGGGTAAGCAGCGGTGGCGGAGCAGGGAGAGGGTGCGGAAATGCACACAGAGGTGCGCTCCATCAGCCCCACCTGCACAGCGTGGCGGATTCTCCGTTTCCCAAGTCATTGCCAAATGTAGGGCCAAAGTGAAACACTTCCTGGCTGCATATCAGAAACGGAGGTTTTCAGATTCTCCGGGGGATGCTTTGGTGCCCCGTTGGAGTTCGGTGGGACTACTCACAAGCAAATAGGCGTTCTTGCAAATAAGTGCGTTTCACAGGAGGGCAGTGTCTTCTACTCAGCTGCTGGTAGGAGGTTGGCAGGGCTTGCTGCCTTTGAGGGAGCCTCGCTCAGATCCCCCTCTGCCCCCTGTGGGTCGAGTCGCGAGGGGAGCAAGGCAGTGGCACCAAGCAAAGACATGGTGACGGGTCCCCTGGAGCATCAGAGAACAAGTTTGCTCCATCTCCCTGTCAGTTTGCATTTCTTGGTGCAGAAAGTATTGATCTGATGTGTAGAGATCTTTCCTATTCCAACTAGTTCAAGAAGGTTCTGGAAGCTTCTCTTTGTGAAAGAAACAAGCAGAAGGTTCCTGATGTTTGGGTTATTCCTTCAGAGAAGCTGAGTGCAGCTGACGTAAACTGGTTATCTCTTCTGTCAAGGTCATGCTGACTATCCTAATAAGGCCAGAAGGAGCCTGGGCTTCACATTTCTCTTTCTGTCTCTTTTCCTTCTGGTGTGCTGTTCTGCACAGCATGTAGCATTAAAGTTTAGACTTAGAAGTTATTGTAAGCTTAAGTTAAGTCTGCTGCAACTGGATTTCTTACGGACAGGGCCAATCCTGAATCTATTGGATTTCTAACCATTGTGCTCATTTGCCTTCAGTAGCAGTAAAGCTCTGCTGGATTCATTCCCTCTGGTCTATTTTTGGGGAATCCTGCAACATGTTTAGGTTTTTCCTCTGCCAACTATACGTTGGAGTTCTGCTCTGGATCAACAGGAGCAGAATTCAATGACACTCCCGTGGGATAGCCCTTCACATATTTGAAGATGGCTCCTTTGACACCTGTCCGTCTTCTCTTCTGCAGGCTAAACAGATTTCTTCATGCTAAATAGTTCTCATCTTGCTTTTTCATGCTCTCTTTTCCTTCCCCTCCCCCAATTAGCACAATGCTGTTACTGGATGGGCTTTGCGCTTGCTGTGGCTTCAGGCCACCCCCCCTCCCCTTCCTTCCCCCCCAGACTAAGCTGGCTGGCTCTTTCCCTTGGGCAGGTGGTGACGCAGAGCCCGTGGTCTCATCCCAGAGCCTCCCCCAGGGCGACCCCCAAGGCCCCGAGGCGGCCAGCTCCTCGGACCAAGTGCCCGTTGGGGGCGAAGGCCACGGGGAGCAGGCCGTGAGCCAGTCCGACTCCGAAAACAGGGACCCCTCCTCCCGCGAGAAGCTGGAAGCGCTCCCCCGCCGGCGCGGCCGGCCCTCCCACCGCTTCCTGGGCAAGAAATACCGCAAGTACATCGGGCGAAGGTGATTGGTGGGGACGGCAGGTGGGGCTGGTTCCGTGTGCCCCCTTGGGGCTTCCTTCAGGAGACCCTGGGGCCTCCGTGGGGCTGGGCTCTCTGCGCTGAGCACCCCGGTCATGTCGCACCGCAGGTACTGCTACAAGTCGGCCAAGCCTTTGATGCGTCCCTACCTGTGCCGGATCTGCGGCTCCCGCTTCCTGACGCCTGAGGACCTGCGCTTCCATGTGAACTCGCACGAGGCCGGAGACCCCCAGCTCTTCCGCTGCCTGCAGTGCAGCTACCGCTCTCGGCGCTGGTCGTCCCTCAAGGTGAGCTGCTGGCTGCCTTCCTTCTCCCGTCTCCTCCGAGCAGGTGGGAGGAAGACAAATAAATGGAGAGCAGGGGACGTTTATGTATTCATTTTCTTTTCCCCATCTGCCTGTAATACACGATAATAATAATAATAATAATAATAATAATAATAATAATAATAATAATAAAATTTTATTTATACCCCGCCCTCCCTGGCCAGAGCCAGGCTCAGGGCGTCTAACACCAGTAAAATTACAGTAAAATCATAATAGGGAAAAAATAAACCAATTTAAAATACAGGTTAAAATGCAATTTAAAATGCAGCCTCATTTTAAAAATAGCCCATAGATCAAAACCGTAAGGGGAGGGAAAACATAAGGGTCAGACTGATTCCAAACCAAAGGCCAGGCGGAACAGCTCTGTCTTGCAGGCCCTGCGGAAAGATGTCAAGTCCCACAGGGCCCTGGTCTCTTGTGACAGAGCGTTCCACCACGTCGGGGCCAGTACTGAAAAGGCCCTGACCCTAGTTGAGACCAAGCTAACCTCCTTGTGACTTGAGACCTCCAAAGTGTTGTCATTTGTGGACCTTAAGGTCCTCCGTGGGGCATACCAGGAGAGGCGGTCCCGTAGGTACGTGGGTCCTAGGCTACATAGGGCTTTAAAGGTCAAAACCAGCACCTTAAACCTGACCCTAGACTCCACTGGGAGCCAGTGTAGTTCGTAAAGCACTGTGTAAGTTTCTGATCACTTCTGTCAAGCGAGCGTTAAGGTGCAGGTCTGCTGCATAGAAAAGATCTATTAAAACATACGAACGATCAGTTTGTACAATCAATACATCACAGTGCAAGACCTTTTTAAAAAAGCAATCTGTTCCCCAAAGCCTGTTGGAACAAGAAAGCCTCTGTCTGCCGGTGGGAGGACAGCAAGGAGGGAGTTCTCTAGGCAGGGAGTTCCAAAGTTGCTTGTCATCAGCCAGCGCTGAGGAGGCCGTCTCCTGCATCCCTACAGACCTGCCTGAGAGGGAATTGGGACGGAGAGAGGGGCCTGTGGGAATTTGCTCCAGTGAGCAGATGGAGAGAGGCCAAGGAGCCAGAACCAGCCCAGGTTTATTCTTTAATCACTTACAGCCTCCTCCTTCCCCTTCCAGGAGCACATGTTCAACCACGTGGGGAGCAAGCCCTACAAGTGCGAGGAGTGCGACTACACCAGCGTCTACAGGAAGGACGTCATCCGCCACTCGGCCGTCCACAACCGCGACAAGTAGGTGTCCTCAGGGGCCCCGGCAGACCCCGGCGGGCAGCAGAGGGGTGGCAGCGGGCCTCCCCTCCCATGTCCAGGTCACGGGGTGGGTGGCTGCCTGTCAGGGGTTCTTCTGCTGACATTCCTGCATTGCAGGGCGTTGGGCTAGATGTCCTCTGGGGGTCCCTTCCTACTCTATGATTTTGTGATTTCTCAGTGGCCTCACCTGCTTCTTTCCTTCCTTCCTTTGTTTTTTTATATATTAAAGATTTCAACACAATACTTTAACAAAAATACATCATCCACATTGTTCTCCCCCCTCCATTCCCCCCCCCCCAAATAGAACACCCCCCGGACTTCCCTCAGCTCCTTTCTCTGGTTTCTCAACACATATTTCTGTCTGCATGTTACAGAATTGTAAAAATCCTCAAATTACCTATCTATATATTGCAGTAAAGAGTTTGTGAATGTTTATTCAAAACCTGCCAAAGAGTCCAATTCATTTTGTTGCTTCTTCAAATATTTCATAAAAGGTTCCCATTGATCTTTGAAACCAGAGTCATCCTTGTCACGTAGTTTGTGTGTCAATTTTGCCAGTTCCGCATAGTCCATCAGTTTTTCTTGCCACAGTTCTTTTGTCGGGGTTTCTTTGTTCTTCCATCCTTGTGCTATTAAGACACTTGCAGCCGTTGTCACATACATAAAAATATTTTAAAATTTCTTTAGCAGGTCTTTTCCCACAATCCCTAACAAGAAAGCTTCGGGCTTTTTCACAAATGTTGAATGGAACATTTTCTTTAACTCATTATATATCATATCCCAAAACATTTTAGTTTTACTGCAATCCCACCACATGTGATAAAAAGTCCCTTCTTTTTCCTTGCATTTCCAACATAGGTTTGAGCCAGTTTTATACATTTCCCCTAACTGTACTGGTGTTATGTACCATCTATCCTTTGTTTTTGTTTTTAGGAAGAAGCGAGCTGATCCGGTAAGTGTCCTCCTTCGCCTCCACCTGACTCCTGTGTGCGAATCTTTCTTGGTTCTCCAAAGGGGCGTTCCTTGCCATGTGTGCCCTCATGAACAACCCTGCAAGGGCAGCTGCTTCGCCTTGGGAACTGAGAGGCTGTGACTTGGCAAAGCCACACACAGAGCCCAGAGCAGGACCAGGAGGGGAGCTTCAGAATCAAGGCCAGCTCTCTGGGCTGAGCAGAGCCAGCTGCTCCTCATGGGGTGGGGGGGGGGGTCTCACCTGAGCCAGGCAGTTCTGACCATACCTTAACCTCTCTCTGGGCAGCCCCCCAAGCGCAGTTCCTTCCCCTGCCCCGTCTGCAGCCGCGTCTACCCCATGCAGAAGAGGCTCACCCAGCACATGAAGACGCACAGCACCGAGAAGCCCCACATGTGTGACAAGGTGGGTGTCGAAGCAGGGGGGGGCTCCTTGGCTGATGCATTGTGCCTGGGCATGGGGGGGGCCAGGTGGCGAGGTCCGCAGCTGCCACCCTGCATCAGCGGGAGAGGAAGCCGCTTGGGCGCCTGGGGTGGCGCGCCCATAGGGGCAGGGAGCACCATGGGGCCTCTGAGGAGTCTGCCTGCCTCCTCCCACTCAGCCGCCCTACAGCTTCAGGGGAGGCAGCGGGGGGACCATTTGGGGCAGCGCAGAGCCTGCGGGCGCCCAAACCACCGCGTCACTCCCAGGAGAGACGCATGGCTCAGGCGCGCTGCAGACCCCGCGCTGAATGCCCCCTGGCATTTTGTCACCCCCCTCAGTGTTGACACCCGGGTTGGACCTGTTAGGATATAGTTTTATTCCACCTTTAGAACAGGCATGTGGAGTTGTTGTATATCACATGTCTGTTTACTTCCAGCACAGTTTGCTGGGAACTTCCGTTGTATATTGCTTTTGTCTATACTTCTTTTTGCTTGGACACGAAGGGAAGCAGACATGTTTTTCCTTTGTTCCTGATGCTGAATATACCCCTTTAAATATGCTTGCATATGCCTCTGTCTGCCACTTCCGTTGTGAAAAGTTATTCACTCTGGTGATTAGAGCGTGCTCAGTCTCTGAAGGCTTCTGAGGCTCAAGTCGCTGATAGATGCTGTTCTGAGAACCGGAGTTCGCGTGGCTGGAGCCAGCTGGGGGCTTGCCAATTGCCCCCGTCTCCCCGGACGCATCCCAACAGGACCCCCCCCACTGCCCCCCCTTCCCCCGCCCCTGCCCTTTATGACCTGAGCCCTTCCTCTCTCCTGCAGTGTGGGAAGTCCTTCAAGAAGCGCTACACCTTCAAAATGCACCTGCTGACCCACATCCAGCCTGTGGCCAACTGCCGGTGAGCACCCCCTGCATTGCCCTTGCGGGGTGGGGGGAGGAATAGCGGGGAGCAACAGCTGTGCACATAGGCCGCCACCCCCCATTGGCCCATGGTGACGGCTATCTCCCCCTCCTCCTCCTCCTTTTTTTTGGGGGGGGGGATTTGTATTTTATTTATTTGTTAACATTCTTATATTACATCGGTAAACGTTGTCATATTACATTACAGGACTTACCATAATATAATTTCCAACATGTATACAAAAATTATATACAAATTTTATATACCTAGAAAGAAAATGAAACAAAAAGAAAGAACAAAGAGAAAAAACAAAAACAAATTCCCCCCCAAAAAATCATATACATACCAACACACTAGACTTCCTGTCTTTCCCGTTGTATATTCCTTTTTTACAAATGAATGTACTCTCATTATTGTATATTTCTTTACATATTATCTAATACATTCCTATATCAATATGTGCTCTTAGTCCTATTTCTCAACTCAGTCTCACTCCAACATCATTCAAATGCTAGCATAGATAGCGAAGCTTTGCTGTATTTTTGAACGTATGTTTTATATCTATCCCACTTTTCCATAAATTTTTGTTTTGAATTGCCTCTCAGGGTATTTGTTAACTGCGCCATTTCAGCAAATTCTTGTAGCTTGTCATGCCAGACCGTTATTGTCGGGGCTTCTTATTCCTTCCACCCCTTTGCCACCAAAGTCCGAGCTGCGGCCGTTGCATATAAGAACACCTCCCTAAAGGCCTTAACAATGCTCTTATGTACTCTTATATCCCTGCTAACCATGCTCTTATGTACTCCCTCCTCTTCCTCCTCCTCCTCCCGGGCAGGTTCAAGTGCGAGTTCTGCGACCACGTCTGCGAGGACAAGAAGCTGCTCCTCAAGCACCAGCTGCTGCACATCCACGACAAGCCCTACCGCTGCAGCCTCTGCCCCTACGCCACCATCCGGGAGGACTTCCTCCTCTCCCACATGGCCGTCAAGCACACAGGTGAGCAGCGCCATCGCGTGTCACTGATTACGCAGGTTCACAAGCGACAAGGCAGTAACACAAAGACATGAATCAGCTCAAGGTCTGGCTGAGGAGGAACATTTTCCCCTGGCGCCTACAGGTGTGTAACGAAGGCACCAGGCAACCTCCCTGGGGAGAGCATCCCACAGACGGGGAGCCACCGCGGAAAAGGCCTCCCCTGGACTTCACTTGGGGAAGGCACACAAAGAAGGGCAGAGGCAGATTTGGGGCAGCAGGACCAGTCCCCCCCCCTTGGCTGGCAGACGGCAGAGAAGAGGGCTGGCGCTCACTCTCCCCTCTTCCTGGGAGGTTTCTAAGCAGGGCTTGGACGGCCGTCCTCCAGAGATCCTTTGGCTGAGATTCCTGCATTGCCGGGGGTGGGACTCGGGGGCCCTCTGCAATTCTGTGTTTAGGACTGTTCAACGGGTGTGAACAGTCCCACTGGGCTTTTTCAGAATCTTGCCTCCCGCAAAAAGGAAGGGGGGGCAGACTCTCTCCCCCCCCCGCTTGCCAAGCTGTCCCCCCCCCTTCCCACCAGCCAGCCAGGCTCCATCCTCCCCCCACTGCTCCTGTCTCCCCTGCAGGCGGGAAGCCCTTTGCCTGCGAGTTCTGCCACTTCACCACAAAGCACAAGAAGAACCTGCGCCTCCACATCCAGTGCCGCCACGCGGAGAACTTCGAGGAGTGGGTGCAGCGGCACCCGGAGGAGCCCCCCTGCCGCCGCCGCCCCTTCTTCACCCTCCAGCAGATTGAGGAGCTGAAGCAGCAGCACAGCCAGGGCCAGGCGGCCGCGGAGACAGCGCCTGCCAGCTCCCCCGTGAGTGCCCGGGCATCGCCCCACCCTCTCATTTCTGCAGCTGCCCCGTCCTTCCCACCAGCTCTGAGCTGCCCTCACCTCTTTCTCCCTCCAGCAGGTCACCTACCAACCTGCCCAAACCCCGCCTGCTCCAGAGCCCCCCATCCTGACGCAGGAGCCGCTGGAGGCAGCCACCATCATCTACGAGCCAGGTAGGGAGGGGCCCGTCGAGCGCAGCGTCCTCTTCTCACAGGGGCCAGCCAGGTGCCCCACTGAGGAACCCACAAGCAGCAGCCCTCTCCCCTCCTGTGGTTTCCAACACCTGGGATTCAGAAGCCTTTCTGTCTCTGCCTGGGAAGGCAGATCATTGCCATGGTGGCTAGTAGTCAACAATGGCCCTCTCCTCCTCCTCTTTTAAAGCCATCTAAGTTGGGGGCCGTCGCTGCCTCCTGTGGGAGGGAGTTCCACAGTTTAACTGGGCACTGCATGAGGAAGGACTTTCCTTTTTCTTCCCACATTCGGCTTCACTGGATGTCCACAAGTTCCAGTGTCACGAGAAAGGGAGAGAAACTTTCCTCTATCCACTCTTTCCAAGCCATGCAATAATTTTATAAACTTCTGCCATGTTGCCATTCCTTACTTGCCATTCGCCAAAGCTAAAGTCCCAAATGCTGCAACGTTTCTTCATATGGGAGTCGGATTTTATTGGTCAACCAAATACCAGTTGCTGTGGTGTCTCTGGATGCGAACAGGATCTGTTCCGTAGCCCCGTTCGCATCCTGAAAGGAACGTAAGACGCGACTGTGTGCGTGTGCGTTTCGCGTTTCGCCACTTCCGCGCATGCACGTGATGTCATTTTGAACGTTTGCACATGCACGAGCGGCAAAAACCAGAAGTAACGCATTCTGTTACTTTCGGGTTGCCACGGAGCGCAACCCGAAAACGCTCAGCCTGAAGCGTATTCATCCCGAGGTATGACTGTATAGCCAAAAAAACATGCAAAAAACAGGCAGGTCTCAAAAACATGCAACACATAGGGGTCTCACTCCACCCCCTTGATAATGTGGGTGGCCCTTTTCTGAAGGTGGTACCTTGGTTTAAGAACAGTCTGGTTTAAGAAAGATTTGGTTTACAAACTCCGCAAAACTGGAAATTGTGTCCCGGTTTGCAAACTTTAGCTTAGTCTAAGAACAGAAGCCGAACGGTGGAAGGGCACTGGCAGAGGGAGGCCTCATTAGGGAAAGTGTGCCTCGGTTTAAGAATGGCTTTGGTTTAAGAACGGACTTCCGGAACGGATTAAGTTCGTAAACCGAGGTACCACTGTACAGTCATACCTCGGGATAAATACGCTTCAGGTTAAGTATTTTCGGGTTGCGCTCCGCGGCGACCCGGAAGTAACGGAGCGTGTTACTTCTGGGTTTTGCCGCTTGCACATGTGCAGACGGTCAAAATGACGTCATGCGCGGAAGCAGCGGCACATTCTGTTCAGGATGCAAACAGGGCTCTGGAACAGATCCGGTTCGCATCCCGAGGTACCACTGTACTGTTGAAATCGATCAAGTTGCAATTGTACTGTACTCTCAAGCAAGCAAGCTCACCCTCCCTCCCTCATGGCTGGCGAAGGGCGTAGAAATGTCGGGAGCAGGAGCCCAGCTGACCTCCCTCTTGCTCCCCCCGCAGACGTAGAAGGCTCTGCTGAGCTGGCCACACAGACGGCGCTGGACCTCTTGCTGAACATGAGCAGCCAGCGGGAACTGCCTGCCAGCAGCACCCTGGAGGTGAGGCCGGGGATGCCTTCGCAAGCCCCAGCTCCCTGGTGGGCCCTTCCAGCTGTGCCACGCCATGACCCACGGCTGCTTTCTGCACCCCCTGCAGGTGGCCGTGGTGAAGGCCGACGGCTTCTCCAAGGCCTCCGAGCCCCAGGGGCAGTCGGAGGAGGAGGAGGAGGCCCAGACCAAGGTGCTGAGGCTGCACGTCACAGAGGAGGCAGCCCTGGAGGGCACCGAGATCCAGCAAGTCACCATCCCCTTCAGCAGCACCACGGAGTACAGCATCATTGCCCGAGCGAGGAGGAGGCCACCAGCACGCTCTACGGGTGAGAGCAGAGAAGCCGGCCGCCTCCAGGCAGAAGGGCTCTGGCCGCAGGGAGACGATAGCGAGAGGCAGCGTGGTGCAGTGCTTAGAGCGCCAGACTAGGACCTGGGAGACCAGGGTTTGAATCCCCACTCAGACACGAAGCTCACGTGCCATCTGCCAACCCAGCCAGATGGGCAGGGAAATAATAATAATAATAATAATAATAATAATAATAATAATAATAATAATAATAATGTTTTGTTTATTACTTGGACCAGTCTCAGCCTCACCTACCTCACAGAGTGGCTGTGGAGATTAAATAAGGAAGCTTTGACCCTCTTGCAGGGAAGGTGAAAGATAAATAAATTGGGGGAGGTAGAAGGTGGAGCTTGCACGGCCATCTCAGACCAAGGCTTGCTCTGCATTCCCACTGCCCCCGTGGCTTCAGGGTTTTCTCTGGATCCACGTGATTTAGAAAGGAAGAGATTTGGGGTAGCTGGAAGACCCCCCTCACCGCCCTGGACTCACTCTTCTGCCTCTCCAAGGGCCTGCAGGGTCAGGAAAGTGCCCCACCTGGGCCAGCATCCTCTTCTGGCAGAGGCCAACCAGACGCCCCTAGTGGGAAAACCACAAGCAGCATCCGAGCGCAAGTTGCAGCCATCTCCTCTCCTGGGGCCTCCAGCAACTGGCCATCGATCGGCCTCTGCTCCTCCGTGAGTTTGTCTGATGTCTCTTGGCAGGGAGGGGGAGAGTGCCAGCGAAGTCGTCCAGGCGGTGGTCAGAAGCTGCACCCTGAAGGATGCCACAACTCCCAGCAGCACGCCAGAGAGCCAGCAGCACACCGTGGAGGTGAGGAGGAGGAAGGGGGCCTGTCTGTCGCCCAGGGAGGAGGGAGGCCAGCCCAGCCCTGGGTCCAGGAAGTGCCGCTCTAACCAGCCTCCCTCCTGTCCCTGCAGATGAGTGGGGAGCGGCCAGAGGCCCAGTGCAGCGTCCCGTGGCCTCTGGTCCAGTGCCTGGCCTGGCCGGCCCACAAGGCCGTTTCGCTGGCCCCCGCCGACCAGGAACCGGCCCCCGGCAAGGGCAGGCCTCCCACCAGGCAGGGGGCGCCCAAGCAGGCCTCCGGCAACGAGGCTTCCCCCAAGAAGCTGCCGGCAGCCCCGGCGGGCAAGGTGCCCTCGGCCAAGAAGTTCTCCTGCAAGATCTGCATGGCGACCTTTGCGGGCCGAGCGGAGATGGAGAGCCACAAGCGTGCCCACGTCGGACCCAGCACCTTCAAGTGCCCCGACTGCCCCTTCACGGCAGCTCTGTGGCCCGACGTCCGGGTAGGTGGGGGGGTGTCCCTTGCAAATGGAGGTGGAGGGGGCAGGATGGCTGGGAAGTGCCCACAGCGCTGCGGCCAGAGGAGAGAGGCCTGGCACAACTGCCGCTCTCCCGGGTGGCAACGGGGAGACGGAAGGGCAGGCTGCAGTTGGAGAAGCCCCTGGGCTCCCAAGCCGAGAGGAGGGGGGGTTGGGGTCACCCCTCAGTGACACCCCCCGCAAGAGAAGGTCTGAAGGTCCCCACTCTGGGCCACTTTGCTCTGTGTGGGGTGTATTAGAAGATTTGGGGAGGGCTCTGATGGACTATGTGGAATTGGCGTGATAAACTACGTGACAAGGACAACTGTGACTTTAAAGAAGAATGGGAACCATTTACGAAGTACTTAAAGAAACAACAAAACGAACTGGACTCCTTGGCAGGGTTTGAATAAACCTTCACAAACTTTTTATTGGTAACATAGAGATAGATAAATTATGGATCTTTACATTTTTAGAATATGCAGAGAATAACATGTGCTGAAAAACCAGAGAGAGGAGCAGAGGGAAGTCCTTGGGTGGGGGTGGGATTTTCTTGGGGGGGGGATGAGGATGATGTGTTTTTGGTAAATTGTTATGTTGAAATTCCTAATAAAAACTATTTTTTAAAAAAAAGATTTGGGGAGGGCTCTTTCCGGGGGGGGGGGGAGGCTGGGCAAGTGACTCATCTGAATTGTGGGAGTTGATTTAGGGAGCTGCCCCGGGGGAGGGCGAGGAGGAGGGGCCCCCATGCCCTGACCTGGTTTCTCCCTTTCCCCCCCCCCAAACCAGACCCACATGGAGCAGCACGCCAGCCTCCGGCCCCACAAGTGCCAGCACTGCAGCTTTGCCTCTAAGAACAAGAAGGACCTGCGGCGCCACACCCTGACGCACACCAACGAGAAGCCCTTCGCTTGCCACGTCTGCGGGCAGAGGTGGGCAAGGGCTGCTGCTGCCAGCATGGGGGGGGGGCATTTCCCTTCACACAGCAGAGCCACCTAGGTGAGCAAGGAGTCCAGCTTCCCACCTCAGTCTCTCCACTCTTCTCTCCTCCGCAGGTTCAACCGCAACGGGCACCTGAAATTCCACATGCAGAGGCTGCACAGCGCAGAAGGAGGGAAGCAGGCGCCTGAGCTGGCCCCCAGCGCCTCCCAGACCATCATCCTGAACAGCGACGACGAGGCCCTGGCCACGCTGCAGAGTGAGCAGAGCAGAGGCTCCCGCTCCCTTCCTCTCCCCACTGCCCATCGCCCACAGGGCGGGCAAAGGGCACGTCTCTGCTCATCTCGAGAGCCCCAAATGGGGGTGGGGCAGAATTGCAAAATGGCGCTGTGCACAGCCAAGACCACTTGGTTCCCCAAGTGGGGTTACCTAGAGGGGTGCTAAGAGGCAAAGGGGCAGCGGGGGGGGCCACTGGAGGGGGCCCCTCCAAGCACATCCATCGCCTACATAGGATTGAGCAGGCCAGAGCCTTGACTAAAACACCTTCCCTGCTTTGTATTTAAAGTCTTACTGCTCTTTTCACTTTCAAGTCTATTTCCTTTGGTCACAAATGGACACGTTTACAGTTCTGAGTTGGCACAGGATGGCCCATAATTGGCAACACCTATTGCTTTTCTAATAAATTAGTTACCGCACACCTGTGGTAGGTGAGTGATTGCCCCTGTTTGGCAAGCAGTTGCGTACGTGTTTCCTTCACCCTTATTTTGCCGTTAGTCAGAATGCATACAAATAATTTACAATGCAAGATTTTGGTTTTTTTGCATTCCTTCGTGGCTCATGCAAACCACTCTTCTGAATAGTGCTTTCCAGGCAGCACTGGGAGTGAGTTTGTGGAATCAAGGGGACGGTGACCCCCAAAACATTTGGGGAACTTGCACCCTCTTGCACGTGGGAGACCATTTCTGCCCCTGTGAAGACGGCAGCTGTATGCCTGCCAACCGCACTCACCAGACCGTGCTCTCTCTCTCTCTCTCTCTCTCCCTCCCTCCCTCCCCAACAGCGACCCTGCAGTCCGGCCAGGCTGTCCTGGCTCCGGAGAGGCTCCAGCAGGCCCTGGGGCAGGAGCGCATTCTCATGACGCAGGAGCAGAGCGTCCCCGGCCAGGTGAGGGGGGCAAGCGGGCCAGACCCCCGGGTCCCCTCCCTCCAGGCTTCTGCGGCCTTCCGTCGCATGTGGGGCATCTGGGCGTGGGGCAGCAGTGGTGGGTCTTGGGGCCCAGAGCTGAACCCCCTTGCGTCTCTTCTCAGGAGGATGCTGCCTACATCCAGGAGATCGTGACGACGGCAGACGGGCAGATGGTGCAGCACTTGGTGACGGCAGAGAACCAGGTAGGGCAGTGGCAATGGGGGGGGCGGAGCTGGCCTGGCAGGAGCTCAGAATGCCTCAGGGCATTCTACTTCACGCAGCGCACAGTTAAACTGTGGAACTCATTCCTGCAGGATGCAGTGACGGCCACCAGCCTTTGAAAGAGGCTTTGATTAAATTCGCGAAGGAGAGGGCTCTCGATGACCGTGCTCTGCCTCCAGAGGCAGCAATGCCCGTTTCTGGGCACCCCAGGAGGAGAGAGGGCTCTTGGCCTGATCCAGCACACTCTCCAGACTCCTCTTGCTGTGCCTTCCTTTTGCGTTCCGAAGGCAAAGGAAGGATTGGACTCTGATTAATAAAATACACGGAGGCTTGGCCAGCAAGACTCTGCGAGGAAGTGCCAAGAATAATCTGCCACACCCTGGCCCAGGTCCCTTTTATTAACAAAAAGAACTTTTAACATCACTTGTACGAACCAATCAGATTTCCTCTGAGCATTTCCAAAAAACCCCACGTGGGACAAAGTTAGATCAGAGAAATCCTTTTAACTACAAAGAACTAATTTGAGCATGCATATGTAAAACAGGAATCAAGGAGGAATGCATTTAGCAAACCCTGGAGGTCATAAACAGGCAGTAAACGGGAAAGGAAGGACAGGCAAGGAAAGATAGTGTTTACCATCTTCTTATGAGCTCTCTTCCTGGCCCTTAAGATCTACCTAAAGATTAACAAAATCTACCTCCTATCTTTATGGCCAAGGATGAATGGTGAAGCAACTGGCCTGTGTTTCAGAATGCTTATATGTGCCTGTCAGGCAGAGGAAATGGGCAGTAGAGAAAATGGGCAGAGATGCAGAGGCTTGTGGGATTTGATCAGAAATTGTTGTCAATGACTCAAGCCCAGTCAAGCAGTGCTTGCTGACACAATGGCTTGCTGCATTTTTCACAATTCCTCATAGCAATCCCACCTGACCACCACTCCTTCCCTTCCAGGTCCAGTACATCATCACCCAGGATGGCGTTCAGCACCTCCTGCCCCAGGAGTACGTGGTTCTGCCCGGGACGCATCATATCCAGGTGAGACCCAGGGCTGGAGGGGAGGACAAGGGAGCAGTTGCCTCCTTCCTTCCTTCCTCTCCCTGCCCCCTGCTCACCAGATCGACCCACCTTTCTCTATCCCCCCCCCCACCTCTCCGTCTCGCTTTCCAGGTGCAGGACGGCCAGATCACCCACATCCAGTACGAGCAAAGCGGTCAGTTCATGCAGGAGCCCCAGGTAGGAGAGAGGGGGCGTTTGGCAGGTCTTCTTCCCACTCCATGTGTTTGTAGCAGGAGGGTTTGGAAGCTTATGGGGTGGGGCAAGGGAATGGGGCTGGGGCGACGCCTCCCAGGGCTGCTGCCCACCCTGCCCGCTTCTGCCTCCGCAGATCCAGTATGTCCCCGTGTCGCCAGGACAGCAGCTCCTCACGCAAGCTCAGCTGGAGGCCGCGGCCCATTCTGCAGTGACAGGTGGGTACAGGGAGGGGGGAAGGGGGGCTGCACATCCTCTGCCTGTGTCTCTCAAACGTGGGTCCCCTGCTGCTGTTAGACTACAACTCCCATCAGCCCAAGCTAGCAGGACCAGGGGTCAGAGATGATGGGAGTTGTGGTCCACATTATCCGGAAGGGGCCAGCTTCGTCCAAGAATGCAAATGGCGCCTGTTTAGTTTGCACAAGTTGCAGAATTTGGGCTGGGAGGGGCACATTCTGCCTCCTGCTCAGCTGCCCCCTCCTGCCCCTGGTTTAACTGACCCCCCAATGCAGCTTCTTCTTACCTGTTTCCCACCCATGTCTCTCTCTCTCACTCTCTAGCGGTGGCTGATGCCGCCATGGCCCAAGCGCAGGGCCCCTTCAGCACAGACTGCGCGGCGGACCAGATCCACGAGCTCCAGCCGGGGGTTCACTATGACATCATCACGCTGGGAGACTAGCAAGGGGGACCTCGTCCTTCCCCTACCCCCCCCCCCCGCCAAGCATGGACCTCTGCTTCCTCTTGGCTCTGCGGGGGATGAGAGGGGGCCTGGCTGCGTTGGCGAGCAGGATCAGCACCCTGTCTGGATTGTGCCTTCGCGCCACGACCAGGAACGCTCAGTGTGCCCTTGCCTCTCGGAAGGAGCTGCTCCCTGGGGCCTGGCAGGCCCAGCTGCCCCCACCTGCCTGCCTGCCAGTGGCTGAACTTGAAGCTGTGGGTGCTTGAGCCCCAACTGTAGGCCTGGGGGGGCTGGGGGCGCCTTCCCCCGTGGTGTGGGGTGTTGCTTTGCTGGCCTTGACAGCGCCTCCCAATAAAGGCACAGGACTGCCTGGAAGCGAGATCTATGTTGGCGCTGCCTCTTCCTCCTCCTCCTCCCCCCTCCTCCCTTTGTCTTTGCCACCTGCTCAGGTGACCTTGACTCTGGCCAGCCATCGCCCCCCCCCCTTTCCCCCACCCCTGGAATTAACCAACTGGTGAACAGGCTAAATCCCGTGTAACTCTCCCTCCAGTACAACCGCTGTCTCCCTGAGCCCGTCGCTTGGCAGTTGTTTACATGGGATTATAACAGCTAATCTGGGGCTTTAAGGAGGGCCATTTTGCATTATACTGATTATCTTCCGGGGGGGCAGGGTGGTGACCCACCCAACTTCTGCAGGAGGACACAGGCAGCTTCTCGTTCTCTCTTGCAGGAGGGGTGAGCAGGCTGCCAGTCAGGGTAACAGTCTGTGAGAAAGGTCCCCGTATTCCTGCAAGTCCACAGCCTGGCCTCTCCTCGCTGCGGACTGAATGGGCAAATGGGTTTCAGATCAGGGAACCAAGGGGGGCGGAGCGTGGCCCATTTCGGAGGCAGGAAGCTGGACAAGGGGCTTCTTGTTGCAGATGTTCTGCTTGAGCGCCATGGGGAGGGTGCTGGTGCCCCCACGATCCTGGAAATGTAGGGCACCCCAGCTGTGGTTTCTGCCCGGCCAGTCGGCTCCAGCTGTGCCCTGGCATTATAGCAGGTGCCAGGGGTGGCGGCATTAGGGCCAGCTCCAGCTGTGTTGGGGAAGCGGGGGCTTGCGCCTAGATTACAGGCCATTATCTAATAAAGCCGGATTGGCGCACAGCATGCTCCTGATCAGGGCGGTGGCACCGAGTCCTCTGGGGACAAGGTCATGGCCACCAGATGTGGAGGATGCAGCCGCCAGGCAAGGCGAGGGCCGGGAGCTGCTGCAGCCCCTTCCCAGGCCCCCTCCGAGACATTGCTGCCAGGTAGGTAGAGGGCAGAAGGATGCCCTGTCCGTGCTCAGCTGCCCTTTCCTGTGCCAGGTACACGTGGGCACTTGTGCCAGGGGTAAAGAGGAGCGTGTTGTAAGGAAACTCGGGTTGGCTTTTACAGGTACCCTCGAGGTCCACTGTGGATTTAGAAATATAAATGGAGGGTGCCAAGGTAGCAAGGCAAGCTGCTGATCTCCCTTGGTCTGGACAAGTCTGTCAATCAAGATGCCTGGCAATGGCCCTTCCCAGCCTGTCATCCTTTTGAAATAGGGAATACCTTGCCTACAGAATCCATTGTCAACGACCTGCTTCATTCCTACATGGATACCTGCTCTTTTCACTGGTCAGGCCATTCAACAGCTATTGGTCAAGCTGCTTCAGGGAGGGCAACTTACCAGGAATTTCCAGCTGTGTGACTTGAGGGGGTCTCTGAGGTTGGCTGGGGCTAAACACGGCTGCTGTGTTGCCCTTGGCACTATTTCAGACGTGGCTGATTTGAAATGATTCCTTATATTTTTATGCTGCTTTTATTTCACATGAATTGCAAAGTGGCTTACAAACAGTAAACAATTGATGATGTTGTTTAGTCATGTCTGACTCTTTGTGGCCCCTGGACCAGAGCACGCCAGGCACTCCTGTCTTCCACTGCCTCCCCCAGTTTGGTCAAACTCATGTTGATAGATTCTATAACACTGTCCAACCATCTCGTCACAATTGATAGAACATCACAAATTCATACATTTTATTTATGACGCCTTATAATTCTTACAAGAAGTACATTCACCCTTGTGGCTATTTATGGCCCCTTGTGCTCCTGCAGAGCTTGTGTGCCTGCGTGCGCCTTGAGAACTAGAAACTTGGAGGTGATGCACATTTTCTGCAGCTCAGAGATGTGGGTTGAGTCCCTGCTGCCACCTGATCAAGGGAGAGTCAGTTCTATTCAGAATGGTTGAAAAAGGAGCAGGGTTGGAGCAGCCATGTCTGTGGGTGTGAAGGAGCAGTGAATGGGTCCTGGGTGGAGAGGCTTCCTCCAAATCTGCCGGGTGCTGGAGGAGTGGGAAAGCCAGCTTGGGCCAGGAGGAAGGGCCTTGGCGTAGCTCTTGCAAAAGGTGGTCAGCCTTGTACGCAGGAGAAGGTCCTGGATCCCATCCCTGTAGGGAACCCCTGAGCACACATACCCTAAGTAGAGATGGCTTAATCAGGCCAGTGGCTCATGTATAAGGGACGCGGGTAGCACTGTGGTCTAAACCACTGAGCCTCTTGGGACTTGCTGATCAGACTTGCTGATCAGAAGGTAGGTGGTTCGAATCCCCGCAACAGGGTGAGCTCCCGTTGCTCAGTCCCTGCTCCTGCCAACCTAGCTGTTTAAAAGCACACCAGTGCAAGTAGATAAATAGGTACCGCTGTGGCGGGAAAGTAAACGACACACGCTGTTGCACCAGAAGCAGTTTAGTTCTGCTGGCCACATGACCCAGAAAGCCATTTGTGGCTGCCGGCTCCCTTGGCCTGAAAGCAAGAGGAGTGCCGCAACCCCCAACTGGACTTAACTACCTGGGGGTCCTTTACCTTTACCTGAAGTGGCTCATGTAGCCCAGCCTGCTGTTGTCACAATGGCCAACCAGATGCAAGCAGGATCACAAGCACAACCCCCTCCCCTCGCTTGTGCCCTTGACTGTGGAGGCAGAACAGAGCCATCTTGCTCTCATCCTCTTTTAAACTCTCTGCCTCCTGCAGCAGGGAGTTCCTCAGTTTATGCACTGCAGGAAAGACTTCTTTTCATCCGCCCCGAATCTTCCACCCTTCAGCTTCACTGGACGCTCCGGAGTTCTAGTGTTAGGAGAGAGCCAAGAAAACTTCTCGATCCTGCCTTGCGTAATTTTACAAACTTCGGAGCCTGCAGATCTTGCTGGACCACAGCTCCCATCATTCCTGGCTCGTGCCCCCCCCCCCGCCTCCCCCTAGACTAGACGGCACTTACCGTAATAGGCCAGCGCCCTAAACTGGGTATCTGGGCAGTTTCCTTTTCTCTTGACTTGTGGCATCCCTCCCCTCGCCCAGTGATGCCCGCATTGCCCTCCTCTGTGTAACCCCAGGGCGTGTAGGGCTCTGCTTGCATGTCCTAGTCCACCCAAGGCACATGCAACCGGGTGGGGGGGTGAGCTTTTCTTCCGGCTCAGGGTCCCCCCCCCCTGCGTGCGCTTTAGAAGCCCTTCAGGCGCGTTGGCTCTCCTGCGCCGTCCTTCTACTGGGATCTCCTCGGGGCAGCAACACCGGCACTTTCGTAGCCGGACGGTGCGGTCACTTTCTCTTCGTCCCTCCCTTCGCGGGTGGGGTGTGCCGGGCTGTCCCCTCCAGCTCCGTCCCAACCTCTCCGGGCCGGGGAGCCTTTGCGCCCGTCCGAGCGGACGGAAAGGGGACCGGGAACGGAAAGGCCTCTCGTCCCGCCCTGGAGGCCGTCGGGGGTGGATTCGGGATTTCGCAACCGGCGGCACCGGGAGGAGGAGGAGGAGGCTCCCGGGAGTTTGGAAGCGCCGCCTGCTGGGTCCTGGGGCGGATGCGCCGCTCCGGAGTGACGCTCCTCCGGGAAGCGCCCCGACGGGCGGGGAAAAGGGCCGGGAAGTCGCCGCCGCCGCCACCCGGCCATCCTCCTCGTGCCCCTCGACGGAGGGACCTTCCCGGGAGCCGCCTTCAGCGGGTGCGTTACTCTTCTTCATATCCGGAGAGAAGGCAAATGGATCCGGCAGGGAGCCAAGCGGCGCGCCCCGGGCTCGACGCCGCGGATCCCGCTCCTCCTCCGGCGGCGAACAGCTGCCTGCTGAGCCTGCCGACGGGAGAGCAGCGCGGCCAGGGGGGGTTGGCACGCGGAGATGGACGGGGCGAGCGCCCTGCCTGGCTGGCTGCCTGGCTGCGTCTTGTGCGCTCCGGCGCTGCGCCTCTTGCTGCGCTCCGCCCCAGAGCGGCATTAGGGGCGGTGAACGGCTCCGGGAGCTACCGGCCTGGGCTGGAGCACGTGGGGTGGGGAAGGGGCTCGCTCCCTCACACCCCCCCCCCCCAGTGCAGGGAAAGGAAACTGGCTGCCTGGTGCCAAGTCAGAGGGCAGCCCCCACCTCTCCAGAGGGGCCTCTTCGCCAGCCCTGCCTGGGAATGACTGAACCTCCTGCGCGCAAAGCGTTCGGTCTACCCCTGAACTATGACTCATTCCCCCAAAAGCAAGCAAAGATTCTAGTCCTCATTATTCTGAGTAAAGGGGCGAAGCAATGAGAACGTAAAACGCTGCCTTGTAGAAAGTCAGTCCTTTGTCTAATGACTGGCAGTGGGGGGTGGGAGGCAGGGGTCTTCCCCCCCCCTCCCTGGACATGCTGCCATTGGGGGTTGAGTCCCAGGCCTCCTGCAAGCAGAGATGGATGCTTGGCAACTGAGCTGTGGTGGCCCCTGCCCTCCTCCTCATCCGCTGCTGACAAAAACAGGATGCTGCTCTGAAGGAGGCGACTTCCTTCTCTCTCTCCCCCCCCCCTTCTGATTATCCCATCCATGGTGCTTAATCCATGGCACCTAATTCACACGTGCACTTGTGAACCCTCTCAGCCTTCTTTCTATTTTTTATTTAGCTTGTAAAGTCTGTACAATGCTCAGTTGGAAAAGAAAAGCTCAAAGCAGTTCACAAGAAAATGATAAAATTATCAATTAGGGAAAAAACAAAAAACAATAATTTGAAACTTTTAGAAAGTTAAAACAGCCATAGACTAAAAACAGATGAACACCTGCATCAGCGGTCTAAGGACCTTGAGTTCCCAGATGCCACATTCTGGCACAATTTGTTTGTTTGTTTGTTTGTTTTGCTTTGTATAACACCCTGATTAGGTAGAAATCCCCATAATCCACAAATGAAGTATTGAAATAAATGTCAATACAGGGAAGAGAGCCGGGGGTCTTAACTGCATAGCACATTTGTGCCCAGGGACAGCTAAGAGGGTCTTGCTAGAAAAGCTGTTGTTTTTTTTGCAGGAGAAGCGTCTTCCTGTGGCAACTGCTCCAAAGCGGGAGGGGGCACAGAAGACCAGCCCCCAGCGGGACATCTGTCCAGCCGTCCAGTCGCTGTGGGACTCCTGAGAGTCTCCGTGCTGGCGAGACATGTCAGCCCCTCAGATCCTGGTCACTGTCTGCGATGATGGGGCACCGGTAGGTTTCCTGGGGCCGCTAGTGCTCCGGAACTGAAATCGGGTAGCTGGGGAAGGAGCTGCGGTGGGCTTGCCTCAGAACTGTGGGGTGAGGATGGCCGCTTGCTCTGCCAAGACACTAAATCAGAGGTTGCATGTTGCCAAGGCCCCAAACTATAGAATGGTAGAGTTGGAAGGGATCCCAAGGGTCATCTAGTCCAACCCCCTGCAATGCAGGCAACTCAATTAAAGCATCCATGTTGTGATAAGAATTTTAAGGTCTTAGGTATATTTTAAATGTTCGTAAATGGACCAGCCATGCACATACATAGATCGGCACAGGAAGACTGACCTGAAACCAACTTTGATTCCCAAACTGACCAAATGTTTTCTCTGCAAGGTCAAGGAAAATGGAAAAGCCTCCCCATTGTCTTTTCCTTCACAAATCCTGTCTTAAGGGTATGTCTGTCTGTGTATGAATAGGGTGTGAGCCTGTGACCTGGCTCAGGAACTAAGTATTTATCATTACAAAGGACTGGCCAGGCTCCCCAGGCAATCCAATCAAGTGACCATTAACAGGTAACCTGCCAGACAGGAGGTAAACAAAGCACTCAGATTTCTGCTGGAGACCACCTCTTCTGTGATGTAGGTATGATGTATCTGGGGGGTGGTCTTGAGCTCCATGGCAGGGAATTAAAAATATCTATATAAGGGCGGACACACCTTGGTTCTGGGTTCCTCCTTCTCTCTCCTGTGTGTGAGGGGAGCACCCTGTTGCAACAGATCAATAAAGATCAGGCTTTGCTTCTCCATATTCTCTGGTTGGCCTCTGTTATTTTCTCCTACCAATAGGGAACCTATGTAAGGACTCTATATGGGCTCTTGTGTCCCCTATAAGGGAAAAAGGGCAGATTACCATATTTTTCACTCTATAAGACACACTTTTCCCCTCCTAAAAAGCAAGGGGAAATGTGTGTGCATCTTATGGAGTGAATGCAGGCTGCGCAGCTATCCCAGAAGCCAGGAGAGCTGCGCAGCGCCCCTTCAGTGAAGCGGGAGGAGAAACGGAGCCCCTTCCATTTCTCCTCCCGCTTTGCTGGAGAGGCACTGAACAGACAGGGAGAGAACTTTTTTTTCCTTGTTCTCCTCCTCTAAAACTAGGTGCGTCTTATAGAGCGAAAAATACGGTATTTGTTTACAACAATGCGAGATGGCCCTCCACCTTCTCCAAGGAAGGAGAGTCTGCCACCTTCCAAAGAACTCCATTCCACTGTCAAACAGCTCTTGCCATCTTCCTAATGTTTAACCTGAATCTCCTTTCATGCAATTGGAGTTGGTGAGTTCAAGTCCTGCCCTCTGGAGGAGGAGAAAACAAGCCGGCTCCATCTTCCATGGGACAAATTCTCATGGAAACTCCAGGAGGGGAGAGGGCTGCTCTTTGGCAGGTGACCCTTTGGGTTGGCCACTGTAGGAGAACGGAAGGGCCAAGGTCCTGCTGAGCGGGTGCTGGGCTGCCCCCCTGCCCGGGATCCCAGCCTGGAGAGAGGGAAAGCACCTGGCAGGCAGGCAGGATGGCGCTCAGGACCACGGCTGAGCACTCCCTGGCCTTCAGCCTGCCTCTTTCCAGCTCAGCCCCTCTCATAAGCTCTTTAGCCACTGGCAGCAATCACTTTCTCGTGTTAATAGGATCATGGCGGATCAGGGAGTCTGCCTCCACGCAGGGAGCGGGCGCAGGGCACCCACGTCTGGGGCAGCACCTCTGGGCAGGGGAGCGTTGTTTGGGTGGCAACTCAGTATCTGTGCCCCATTCCCTCCTCTCTTTCCCCATTGCAGCCCCAGTCGGACCGAGACGCCGCAGACGACGGGGGTGGCAGTGGCCCAGGGGTCTCCAGCCCAGTGGCGGTGAGTGATGGGGCCAGAAAGGGGTCAGGTGCTTCTGGGGAGAAGACAGGGGACTCTGCGTGGGGCTGGTGGAGATCCTGCAAGAAGGGGGACTATTGGATTAAGACAACGGCTCACAACACAAATCCATAAAGGCAACACAGTCAAAACAGTGGGGAGACTGAGAGGGTCTTTCTTCTTCCAGCTGGAGCCCCTGGAGAAGGAGTGGCTGCAGGCAGCGGCCGGGGGCCACATGGCCACCCTCAGCCACCTGCTCCAGCAGGACCCCACCCTCGCCTCCAAGAAGGTAAGATCGCCCGGCGGCTGGGCCCCTCGGAGCCAGTGCCCGACTTGGCCAGCCCAGGCTGGTTCCAAGGGAGGGAGAGCCCAGCAAGAGAGCAAGACTTGAGGCCGGCTGGTTCTCGCTGCCTGGGAGAGTCCAGAGGCCTGCAAGGAAGGGGCAGAACTGCCCTGGGCATCCAGCGTCCCCTCCCTCTACCAAGGAGGGCCTGCTGCTAGATTGGGGGGGGGATGAGGGTGCCAGAGGCGGATTTAGGGCAGCGCGACCGGTTCCCCTGCTCAGTGGTGGAGCTTCGTGCTCCAGCACTTGGGGGGGCACAGATAGCAGGCAGGGGCAGGGCTGATGCACGTCCTGGGGGCATGGAGCGCCACCCGTAAGGGCATGGCACGCGTCCTGGGGGCGTGGTGTGCCACCCTTAGGGGTGAGGCACCCAGCACGGGGGGGGGGGGCAGCAGTGATGACTCCCTGCCGGGATCGTGCTGCCGGGGGCAGTGCACTCCCCCCGCACACCTCTTCCTCTGCCAGGGTCCCTGCTCTGGGTGCTGAGTCTGGGGGGCACTGCAGGGGGTTGCAACTCTGCTGTAATGAATTGAGCAGAAGGGAAGAGACAGGGGTCGGGGTCAATGGGTTCTGCACAGGGCACTGCTGAAATTGGAAAAACCCCAGTCCGCCTCTAGGATCGCCCTGCATCTGAAGGGGCTCCCTTGCGCTTGCCACCCTCCGGGTGCTGACTTGAGCCCCTCTTTTCTCTCCCTCCCGTGACGCTCCGGCTGCTGCTTCCAGGATTTCACCTCGGTGAGTGTGAATGCTGTCCTTGATCTTGTACTCTGGGGCTCAGACCCACAAGGGGCGCCTGGCTGGCTGTCTTGCCCAATGCCAGGCAGTTCTTTTAAAATGAGATTCAGACAAACACAAGTGAGTGAGAAGATTAAAGATTTTCTTCTAAACAGCAAGCATTACATACACTACCAGGCAAGCATTTGGATCTGCCCCTGGGAAGCCCTCAAGAAGTGGCGAAGGGACTCCCCCAGGGAGCCTCACTTTGCAGGGCCCTGCGATCGATCAGTCCGTGAAGGAGCTTCTAATAACTCCACCCAAACCTTCCGATTTATAGAGAGCTAACCTGTTAGCCCGCATGGCTTGCCTGACTGCCTACATGCTACCAGCTATGTACAGATTATTCATTAGCCACCTCTCCCAATGCCTTACTTTCTTCAAACAATGTCTAACCTCAAGAGAAGGTACCCAGCAATATCACTTCCTTCCCTTCTTACAGATTAGGGCACTAAAAGGCTGTTCTTCAGCCATTAGAGAGCTGAACAAGAGATAGAGAGGGGAAGCAAACAGAGGCAGGAAGGGAACCACCTTAGAGCAGTGTTCCCCAACCTTGGGCCTCCAGCTGTTTTGGGACTACAACTCCCATCATCCCTCGCTAGCAAGACCAGTGGTCAAGGATGATGGGAATTGTAGTCCAAAAACAGCTGGAGGCCCAAGGTTGGGGAACACTGCCTTAGAGCGCTATCTCCTCCAAATACAATTATCTTCCGGGTAGATTGCCCTGTGAGAAGAGGATGCTGGACCAGGTGGGCCACTGGTCTGATCCTGCAGCCTCTTCTCATGTTCTTCTTTGGGAGCCCAAGACTTCTCGGGGGGCTGAGCCCACACAAACAGAGCTTCGGAAAGAAGCAGCCGCGGTCCTGGATCAAACCAACCCCTGTGTTGCAAAGAGAACGTCAGCAATGTTATGGTTTGGAGGAATTCTATAAAAAATTGTTTATTGCATATGTACATGGTCATCGTGTTGCCTAGACATTGCTGCTGGTCCTGGATCCGCCAGCCAGCCCTCCCTCACCTGGAGAGTGCAGAATTGGGTCAGCTGCCCCCCAGCCACCATGTCTCACCTGGTCAGGAAGGGGGCTGAGGCCTGGGGGGGTGAGCCTGGCAGACGGGGCTCCATTCAGGCAGGTGCTCCCCCCTGGAATGGGGTCTCCATTGCAGACAGGGGGGGGCGCTTTGTGCTTTAATTCTAAGCCGTGTGGCTCCCGGCAGGGTCATGTTGGGCCTCCACATCTTCCTCCTCTTGGGGTCCTTTGTGGGAGGGGGGGACCCAAGTCCCCTTGCAATGTTTCTGCCCCCCACCCTCCCAGCCATCGGGGGAGGGATCCCTACTGCAGCCCCAGTGTGTGTGAGTGCCAGCTGTGGGTGTGACACTCTGCACATGTTCAGAGGGCTTCAGGATGCACCACGTGGCTCTAACGCTCCCTTCTCTCTGTTCCCCTCCCCCATTGCCAAATCTGCCACCTGTCCCTTCTCCTCCTGCTCTGCTCAGGGGGTAAGTCTAGACCCAAGTGGGTCAGGTCGCCTTGGCGTAGCTCTGGGGGGGTCCCTGGGGGGTCCCTTCTGACTCAGGCTGTCTGCCTTCCTGATGGGCACTGTCTCTGAGACCCAGCGCCAATGCCACCCACCTGCCTGGCACACTGCCCCTCTTTCTGTTTGGGGTGCTCTCTGCTTGTGACCCTCCCACCCCACCCCACAGCCTCCCACCGTCTGTGTTTGGGGTCGGGGAGGTTGTCCCTGGGAACTGGAGTCTCTCCTGGGTGGGGATTTTAATGCCTCTGCTTCTCTTCCACGGTTGTTGTTGCTGCTGCTGCTGCTGCTGCTGCTGCCTGACCTGACACAGTTCGTAAGTATTTGGTCCCAACTACTAATTTCCTCCCCTTACCCCTAAATGCCCCCTTCTCCTCCCCAGAATCCTTCATCTCACATTGCGGAGTTAAACTATGGAACTCCCTCCCACTGGATTAAGTGTAGGCCGCCCACCAATATGGCACAAAGTGACATGCATGCACCATTTTACTTGCATGCCACCTTTCCATAGTTAGAACCATGCTCAAGACGGCTTACGGGGGGGGGGGACGGGGGACGGAAATACAAACATGGCAGAAGTAGTCATGAACAAAAAAATATCAAAAAGTGCACAACCAAATTAAGCAATCTTCACATAAATCGTAATATCTAAAATAAAGACACAAAACAGCAACTGTCCCCCAGCAGAAAACCCCCAAGCCCAGCCCGGCTTTTGCAGTTGGAGTCAGTCCAGGGCCCTGAAAAGGCCTGCAAGGCAGGGAGGACCAGAGGACTTTCAATGGCCCCTAGTGAGGAGAGCTCTGCAGGAGAGGGCACTGCTTATGGGGTTCCCCTGACGGGCCCCTGTGTTGCGTTCTGAAGGCAAAGGAAGGATTGGACCCTGATTAATAAAATACACACCAGGCTTGGCCAGCAAGACTCTGGGAGGAAGGGCCAATAGCCACTCCTTCGTCCAAACCATTTTATTAACTCTTAAAAGAACTTTTAACATCACTTGTACGAACCAATCAGATTTCCTGTGAGCATTTCAAAAAATTACCACATGGGACAAAGTCAGATCAGAGAAACCCTTTTAACTACAAAGAACTAATCTGAGCATGCATATGTAAAACAGGAATCAAGGAGGAATGCATTTAGCAAACCCCGGAGGTCATAAACAGGCAGTAAATAGGAAAGGAAGGACAGGCAAGGAAAGAGAGTATTTACCATCTCCTTGTGAACTCTCTTCCTGGCTCTTAAGATCTACCTAAAGATTAACAAAATCTACCTCCTATCTTTCTGGCCCAGTATGAATGGTGAAGCAACTGGTCTGTGTTTCAGAATGCTTATACGTGCCTGTCAGGCAGAGGAAATGGGGCAGAGATGCAGAGGCTTGTGGGATTTGATCAGAAATTGTTGTCAGTGACTCAAGCCCAGTCAAGCAATGCTTTCATCGCGGACACCATGGCTTGCTGCATTTTTCATAATTCCTCATAGCATTCCCACCTGACCCCCCACACCCCTGGTTGACTCCTGTGAGAAGAGGGTCCCGGGGCCTGATCCGGAGGCTCTTCTGATGCGTGTGACGCAAGCCTCCGCCTTTCCTGCTCCTGGGAGGTTCAGTGGGTGGGCAGAAGGGGGGCTGCCTCTTTCTTGCTGGGTGGGGGGAGGAAGAGAGGAAGGCTCCCCCCGGTGACCCCCCTGCGCTCTCCCCCCAGACAGCCCTCCACTGGGCAGCAAAGCACGGCAAGGAGGAGCTGGTGACCCTCCTCCTGGGGGCCGGGGCCGACGTCAACATGCGAGCGGTGAGTCCCTTGCAGGGCTGGGAGAAGGGGGCTGCGCAGCAAGGCGGGCTTGCCCCCCCCCCGAATCCTGGGGAGAGAGGAGGTGTTGGGGGTTCCCCTAAATTGCTCCCTTTTTTCTCCTCCCATGCTGACCCCTCTGCACGAAGCATGTGAGTAGACCCTCTGAGTAGACAAGGGCAACACCATAGGTGTGGGTTTTTTGGGGGGGGGGTCCTGCACCATCCAGGGCAGGAATTGCAGCTTCAGCGTGGAGCTGCTCCCCTTAACATGGGGGCCCAAGTGGGAGCAGGGTGGGGGGCACCACAGTTGCACAACCAGTTGCACAAACCCAGCCAGATGGGCAGGGTATAATTTTATTTTATTAATTATTTTATTTATTTATTTATATCTATCTATCTATCATCTATCCATCCTTCCTTCCTTCTCCACCCTCCTGCCCCTTTTCTCCTGCAACGCACACAGGGGGTGAGTATTCAGAGGTGCTGGACCTGGGGGTGCATCGCTTTGGGGCTGGGCAAGGCCCCCGAGAGCAGAGCCTGCTGGAGGGTTGCTGGAGACCCCAGGGGTGGGAGGGTCTGGGTGGCGGGTGGGCCGCCCCCCACTCCCCATAAAGTATTAGGTCTCCATGCTGTGTGCAGGCATCTTGGTGCCAGAGGGCGAGGGGGACTGGGCAAAGTGCGTTTTGGGGGGGTGGGGGGGTCTGGTAGTTTCAGAGTCAGGTGCTTCAGGGCCTGTTCTTCCTCCTTCTGCCCCCCAACCAGGGCTACACCCCCCTGCACATTGCCGCCCTACACGGCCACCGGCGGCTGATGGAGTTGCTCATCTGGACCCATGGTGAGGAAGACGTGCCCCCCCCACATCATCCACACCCCTCCCTCCCTGCCAAAGGGGTCAGCCCTCCTTAGGGGCGGCTTCTTCCTCCCCGATGGCACCTCAGCTCCCTGTCGCCCCACAGGTGCCAACCAGGACGTCCGGGATTACAGCGGCCACCTGGCCAAGCACTACCTCTGCGTGGAGACCCCGGAGGGAGCCCCCACCCCACCCCGTAAGAACAGCGCCCCCCCCTTCTTGCCTTTGCATGCACCTTCACAGGGAGGGCGGCCTGGGAGGGCAGGTTCAGGACGGGCCAAAGGAAGTCCTTCGCCGTGGAGCGCCGGTTTAGACTGCGGAACTCCCTGCCACAGGAAGCAGGGATGGCTTTGAAAGAGGATGGGACAAATTCACGGAGGAGGAGCAGGCAGCGATGCTCCTGCTTCCCAGCTGCCGGAAACACAGGAGGGGAGAGTGTGGCTCTTGGGTTCGAATCCTGATTGTTGGGAGCATCTGACAGCCAGGCTCTGTGAATGTTCTTAATAATAATAATAATATTTTTTTATTTATACTCCACCCTTCCCGGTTCAAAAGCCGGGCTCAGGGTGGCTAGCAACAAATTTAAAACACTTTAAAACACTTAATTATAAAAGCAACATAAAATATGGTATAAAAACATGAATAACAATAAAATTCAAAAATCAGTTAGATAATTCCCCAGGGCTAGCTGTCTGAATTGGTCCTACTTGGGCCAGTGAGGAGCCCAGGGGAGAATTAGCTGTGGGGTCTCAGGGAAGGGAAGGGAAATAGAAGATCAGGCTGAATTCAAATTAAAGGCCAGGCAGAATAGCTCTGTCTTACAGGCCCGGCGGAAGGAGGTTAAATCCTGCAGGGCCCTGGTCTCCTAGGACAGAGCAGTCCACCAGGTCGGAGCCATCACTGAGAAGGGGAGCCATCACTGAGAAGGCCCTGGCCCTGGTGGAGGATAGTCTGGCTTCTGTAGGACCTGGGACCACTAAACTATGGTTATTTATGGACCTTAAGGTCGTCTGCGGGGCAGACCAGGAGAGGAGGTCCCATAGATATTTGGGGAGGGGTCGCTTTCTGCTCCCTGTTTGCATGTGGAAAAGGGGAGAGGGGGAGGGACCCTAAAGGGGATTTGCTTGCAGCCCCCTTCCCAGAGCTTCTAGGTTGTCTGGCGGAAGGGCCTATGGGGAGAGGGGAGGGACGTGGGGTTGGACTAGATGACCCTTGGTGGTCCCTTCCAACTCTGCCATCTGTGTGAGCGTGCCCCCCCGGGGGGTCTGCTGGTGTCTCCCCAGAGCTGAGCCCGATCCGGGGGGAGCGCAGCAGGAACCGGAAGCTGGCTTGCCTCCTCCTGCCCAGGACCATCCACCCAGCGCAGCGCAGATGGGGTTCGGCCAACGACTTGGCGGAAGAGGAGGAGGAAGAGGAGCCCCAGGAGACCCCCCAGCACCTGGCGCCCCCAGGCAGCTACCGGGCCGTGCGCAAGTTCTCTCGCTAGACAGACAGACAGGCCCCTGGACTCGGCCAGCCTCTCGCTCAGGGACAGGCAGTGGTGGCGCAGTGGTTAGAGCATTGGACCAGGACCTGGGAGACACCAGGGTTTCAGTCATTCCACGAGTGGCACTGGGGGCCAGTCGCTGCCTCTCAGCCCAGCCTTCCTCACAGGGCTGTTGTGAGGGGGAAATGGGGGGAGAATCATGCCAGGCCCCTTGAGCGCCGTACAGAAAATGTTGGGCTATAAATGGAGAAAATATTTAGAATAACCTTTTATATACATTACAGCCAAGAGGTGAAGAATCAGAAGCACTCATTCTCTCTCTCTCTCTCTCTCTCTCTCTCTCTCTCTCTTTCTTTCTTCTTCTTCTTCTTCTTCTTTCTTTGTATTTGTTTTTATTTAATCGGTTTTTTTTACCTTTTGTATTCTAAAAAGATATTTTTTACTTGGTATTCATCTTTGTATATCTCCTTTCAAGCTTTAATAAAATATATTGGGGGAAAAGAGAAAAGGGTGGAGTATGAATGCAACAGATAAATAAATGAAACCAGCCCCCGCCCCCTTCCTGAGCTGGGGAAGCCTTAGACTTTGCCCCCCCACCCAGCTCCCTTCCTTCCATGGCTGGCTGTGTCTTCTTCCAGGCCTCTCCAATAGATGAGGGACTCCAGGCCTTGATGCAACATATCCAGGATTTGGTTTCCTCAAAATGAACGTCAGCTGAGACTAGTGTCTTTGGGATATACTTACATTTGCTTTTACTGACACATAGATACAGACTGAGCGTAGGATGGAGGGGTCACAGCATCAACATCCTTCTAGGAGATCTTGCTTTTCAATTATTATTATTATTTATTTGTACCCCGCCCATCTGGCTGGGTCTCTCCAGCCACTCTGGGCAGCTTCCACAAAGACCAAAAATACACTAAGATGTCACATATTAAAAACTTCCCTGAACCGGGCTGCCTTAAGATGTCTTCTGAATGTCAGGTAGATGTTTAGCATTTTGATGTTTAGCATTTTGATGTTTAGCATTTTGATGTTTAGCATTTTGACATCTGATGGGAGGGAGTACCACAGGGCGGGTGCCACTACCGAGAAGGCCCTATGCCTGGTTCCCTGTAGCTTTGCTTCTCGCAATGAGGGAACCGCCAGAAGGCCCTCGGCGCTGGACCTCAGTGTCCAGGCAGAATGATGGGGGTGGAGATGCTCCTTCAGGTATACTGGGCTGAGGCCGTTTAGGGCTTTAAAGGTCAGCACCAACACTTTGAATTGTGCCCGGAAACATACTGGGAGCCAATGCAGGTCTTTCAGGACCGGTGTTATGTGGTCTCGGTGGCCGCTCCCAGTCACCAGTCTGGCTGCCGCCTTCTGGATTAGTTGTAGTTTCCGGGTCACCTTCAAAGGTAGCCCCGCATAGAGCACATTGCAGTAGTCCAAGCAGGAGATAACCAGAACATGCACCACTCTGACGAGACAAGACAGCGGGCAAGGAGGGTCTCATCCTGCGTAGTCTCAGCTTTGGATCCAGCACAGAGCAAGCAGGTCTCTGGGTCTCCAGCTCAGCTCTTGCACAACTCTCAGGGTCTTGTTCTCCTACCTGGCAGCTAGGTAGGAGGGGTGGTGAAGGAAAGGCCCACCTGTTAGCCTGGAGGGTCCCATCCCTTAGTTGTGGCTCCTGCAACCTGGCTCATTCTTTTGGGATGCGGATGAGGACACTTAAGTGGCCAGCCAAGGACATTGTCTTACCAAAATAAAATTGTCTGACTACTTTAACAATAGAATCCCCCATTAGATTCTAACCCTCCCTGCGTCCAGGACCCCAAGGACTGGAAGGGACTCGGGGCATCATGCAGACAGACCTGCCCAAACCTCCTTCGAAACTACATCTCATTGGCCTGGAAGTGAATCGCCCCCATGACCACCGTGTGACGCAGCTGGGGCCCCAATGCAGCTGTTCCACCAACGAGGGAGTAGCACTCTGCGCATGCTCTTTAGCCAAGACTTAGAAGGGGAACCGCAGTCCAAACGAGGTTCTTTGTCCACCTCTCCAGGCCTGGAGCACCCAGAGGTTTCCTAGTACCTAAATTTTTGTACATCTTAGATAGTCTCGAGGGGGTGAGGTACCATCCATGCTGCATCTTTAACATATTTTCCTTGACACGCCATACATTTCATATTTGTTCTCCAAAGATTTTCCCATTTGGTCATCATTATTGGGCAGCCAATATCCTGTGCCCATCTAATCGTTTCCTAGTGCTTTGTTGTGGGGAAAGAGAGCAGCCCCCACCCCAGTCCTGCTGTGCTGTAACCAGGCATGAGCTCAGGGAGGGGGCTGCGATGGGGGTCCTCCAACCCCTCCAGGATGTGTGCCAAAGGCAGCCGCTCCAGCGAGTGAGAATCCAGCTTCTGGCACAAGGCTGGGCTCCTCCAACTGCAGCATCCTGACGCTGCCCCTTTAAAGTAAGCTGTGCCCGCTGTCGGCTAATGCCCCTAATCAACTGCCCTTCACCCCTCTGCCCCTATAAATCCCCCAAGCGCAGCCTCTCCCGCCCCAGAGCCACTCTTGCACAGCATGGCCTCAGCACCCTCCCAAGAGACGCCTGCGGGCAGTGGGGATGCGGAGGGCTTTTGGTGTCCCCTAGGGGCCCCGCCTGCCCCCCTGCCCCCTCTGCTGCCCCACCTGCCCTGCGCCTACCCTGCTCTCCCTTGCTACAGCCTGCTGCAGCCACCGCCCCTGGGGCTCTTCGCCCAGCCGGTAAGTGACTCCAGGCACTAGGGGGGGCATGGAGGGGGGCGTTCTGTGTTGCATTGAGGTGAGCGAGGGGCTGGGCCCAGGTGAGCCCCTGGGGGCTTGAAAGATGGGTGGGACTGGCTGGGCCAAACACCGTCTGCAGGCGAGGTTCTTCTCTCCCTCTCCCTCTCTCAGACACATGGGAGAAGGTGCAACTTTTGGTGCTGAAAAGCTTCCAGGGCCACTCGGGTCCTCTGCGCTTTGCTGCTTCCAGCAGCCCTCAGGCTAGTGACACACTTGCTGGAATCATAAAAGAATTCACTTGCCTTTCTCCTCCTTCTTTAACAGCGCCAGCAACCAAACAGCAGGGAGTCCCGCAGATTAACTGCCCACCAGACTTCTTTTGTTCTTTCCAGAATGTGTCAGTCTGGCATTTTTCGTTTCCATGTGTCCATTCTGGACTCCTTTCTTTTTATATATATGCATTTTTTTAAAAAAATTTAACATATCACTTCCAACAGCCATACAACATATCTTCTCATCTTAAACAATGTTTTAGACTTCCATCAACGCCTCTGATGCTTTTCCGTTCTTTATCACTTATTCTGCATTTCTTAATTTCTATATTACATTTAATTGTCCTTGGCTAATAATTCTTTTCATAGTCCTGGACTCCTTCCTTTTGGCCCTTCTGAAATAGATGCAAGGCTCATGAAGGTTTTCAGGCATCGGTGGCCTCAAAATAGAACTCCTACGTTTGGGGAAGGGCTGCAGCTCAGCTGGTGGAGCATCTGCCTTGCAGGCAAAGAGTCCTGAGTTCAAATCCCAACTGCATCTCCTAGCAGGGCTGGGAGGCCCCTCTGCCTGAAAAACTCAACAGCTGCTGCCAGCCAGTGCCGACAATACTGGGAAAGCTGGACCAATGTCTCCGTGTAAAGCAGCATGGGCGTAGCGGGGGGGGGGCGCAGGGAGGGACAGCTGACCCCCCCCTAAATCAATAAAAATGCATAGCTAACTGAGGTTCTGCACCCCCTAACAAAACTCCTGGCTACACCCATGTAAGCCAGCATCCCATGTCTCTGTGTTCCTACCTGGCAAATCTCCATCAGTTCTGAGGTGGGAGCTCATTGGAGCTGCTTACCTGTGGCTGGGGGGTGCCAAGTGTGTGAGGAGAAGGAACTTATGGGGAGAATATTGCTCAGGGGAGAAGGTTGCAGGCAGGCAGAGCAGGCCGGGGGGGGGTGAGCAATGGGGCCAGCCGTTGGGGGTCAGGTTGTCAAACAAAGGCCAGGCAGCCACTGGCACCAGATCTCAGGTGGGTTGGGGGCAAGGGTGAGGTCAGGCTGGCTTGCCGGAGACACCCTCACGAGTTCCCTTCATAGAATCATAGAACGGTAGAGTTGGAAGGGACCCCGAGGGTCATCTAGTCCAACCCCCTGAAATGCAGGAATCACAGCTGAAGCATCCATGACTGATGGCCATCCGATCTCTGCTTAGAAACCTCCAAAGAAAGAGTCCACCACATGGGGAGGTAAACTAAGGCCCAGGGGCCAGATCCGGCCCAATCGCCTTCTCAATCTGGCCAGCAGACGCTCCAGGAATCAGCGTGTTTTTACATGAGTAGAATGTGTGCTTTTATTTAAAATGCATCTCTGGGTTATTTGTGGGGCATAAGAATTCCTTCATCCCCCCCCCCAAAAAAAATAGTCCGGCCCCCTGACCCCTGGTCTACCACCTTCCAAGGGAGACCGCTCCTCTGTCAAATGGCTTTTTTTCGTGTCATTTGAATCTGTTGCTCCTCCTTTTGCCAGCAGAAAAAAAATCAAGCTTCTGTGTCTTGCATGGAACAGCAGCACTTCAGGTATTTGGAGATGTCTCTGTGTCTCCAGCTTCCAGCCTGCTTCTTCCTAGCAGCGGGGGGGGGGGGGGGAGGCCCAATGGCCATTTGCCCGAAGGCACAGAGCAGCTTCTTTGCTTGTACTAATTGCAATGCTTAACTGGTCAGCCAAATTCACTACCTAGTTGGGGGAGCTTGCTCTCATACCCTTTACCCCCCCCCACACACACAGGGTCCCCTGAGCTGGAAGGGAGTCAGAGCATCATCCAGACTGACCCTCCCAAACTTGTGCCATCACCCCCTCCAGAGACCAAGGGGTCTGTCCCAAACCTCCTCCCCACCCCAGCCTCCTCCAGATATCTTCCTCATGAGTTCTTAGGGATGGGGAGAAAGGCCTTCTGCATGCAGCACAGGTGTCCCATTCCTGAGTCCTGCCTCTGCCTGGGATTCATGTTCTCTGTCCTAATTCTCTTTGCGCCAAGTCCCCCCCCCCCATTTGAGGCATAGCTGTCAATGTTTCCCTTTTTTTAAGGGAAATTCCCTTATTCCGAATAGAATTCCTCACAAGAAAAGGGAAAAGTTGACAGCTATGATTTGAGGGTCTATAGGAGGAGGCAAGCCACCCTCGTGGCAACAAGAAACGCAGGATGGCAAACGTACACAGCCTGGCACAGTGGGCAGGCTGGCATCGACGCAGCTCAAGCCCGCTCCTCCCAGCCCTGGGCTGCATGACAGGCGCTCCTCTCTCTGGTCTGGAGATGTTTAAAAATATCTGCAGAGCAGGAGTCTTTGTGGTGGCTTCTCAACCAGACAGGGAAGGGGCCTTTTCTGGGAGGCAGGAGAAACGCTGGGATGGAACTAAAAATAGCAGCAGAAAACAAGAGGAGCAGCAGAGCTGAAGAAGCAAAGCCCCTTGGGGGCACAGTGCCCGCCTCTC